ACATAATGATCCACCAATCAGAACGACTCGGCGCACATTACTGCAATAGCACAACTCATCTACGAGACATTGGAGCGAGTGAAGAAGTTGATGCAGTAACTATAAGTATATGTACGGATACGTTGCAATTTTTGATATGCAGAAATGTCAGTGAGCAATAATACTCATTTTCCAATACCACCGATATCCAGCGTCCCTACAAGGTACTAACAATGAGTTTATCATGCTATGGAATCAATTCCATTAATATAGCTACTAAAATACCATCCACGTGTCTAGCCCATTGAATTAATAAGAAAGACTAGCTCACATTAATCGGAAAAAGCATTGATGGCTGTCGTAAGACATGGAGAACACCTCCGGGAATCAAATCATCCAGATAACGCCGTCGGTGCACTCGTGTAGGGGGGGTATGAGATATGGGGTATGGATATGAACATATAAAGGGGGAACCAAGGAAAGTAAAATCACAGGAATTTTTGACAGCTCAGGGCCAGAAAAGATGGGGGATGGTGGGCAGAGCACATTCGACGGGGATGAGGTATCATACTGAGCCGAAAGCCCAGAAATAAGAAAACAAAATGCACAAAGAGATCAGGCTAAATTTCAAGGTGTCCACACAGACACGAAGTTCACAGATTAGAAAAAGGCAGACGCTCCAAAACTCAACGCCCCGGAAAATTACTTATAGAAACACCACCCTTTGTTCGCACCGGGTGGTCAATCGATCATCATCCGTGATGGTACTTGGGTAAGATTCGAAGAGAGCTCGGTAGTCTTTGCTGCTTCCTTGTTCTTCTTCTTGTTGATGTGGGGCTTCAAACCGCGGTTGAAGTTGTGGGTGCACAGGCAGGCGTTGACGATAGTTATCACAATCAAGATGATGGTGACGACGGCGAAGAAGGTCATCGATGGTCTAGCGGGCAGGTATTTGAAGTAAGTCAGCTCGGAGTACATCCGGAACAGCTTGAAGCAGAAATATCCCATCGCGGCGAATAAGAGGAGCTGGTGAGGTCGTTAGAAGCCAAATCGACATTGCTGGTATTTTCGACTTACAATGATAACGACCATGCCAACCATGGTTTCTCGGCGCACAAACCAGGCGCCACAGACCAGAATGAGAATGGTCACGGGGATGGCAGCCACGGTAAGCGCAAATTCAACATCCATGCTGGCGGAGGAGACCAAGACGAGGAACTGCACCGTAAAGCCCAGGAAGAAAAAGAAATCGAATTTCAAGAGAGCGATGTAGATCTGTTTTGTGGGGGTTAGTCGTGTTGCGGATGGGGAGGTCGAACAAAACACAAACCTGATAGGTGAGGTAGCGACGCTTCATTTGCAGATCGGCACTGATGTGCTTGTAGATTGTCCATGCAAACTCGTCGTAGAGTTTATAGGCCACGAACGTGATCAAGAATGTCCCCAACGCCACAATGCATGGAATGATAATTAGGAACGGCTCGGACTGAGCCCAGACAACCGGACTGATCATATTCATCAGGGCCAAGGTAGAGACCGCCTCTCGAATTTGTTTCACTTGAACAGCGCCGTAAATTAGGAGACCAACATTGCAGATACACAGTCCGATGATCTGAATTGTATTCTTCATGCGCAAAGCATCATATACCAGCACAAGTTCGTATAGGAAGCCAAAACCGTAGAGGGCGAGGAAAGTAGGGATAGTTTTCGAAGCGGGACTGGTGTTTGGGATTTCTTGAATTTGGAAATTTGCGAAAATGTAACTAGAAAAAAAACAACGACGTTAATGGTTGCTTTTCGGTGTCCGGTTCGGCGGAGGTCCATACCTTTCAAGGCTGAGTGTTACGACTGTTTGGACGAGTGCGACAATCGCAAAGGACCACGTCCAATGTGTATTTGGGAGATAGCACATCCTGGTAGTATTGGTTGCGGGCGTGACATTAGGGTATCCCTCTCGTGCGCGAAACCCTCCTGGATCTCGTCGAAAGGCGGGATCGAAAGAACCCCCTAGGAGAGAGGCGCGCGACCCGTGCGATGGAATCTTGCCGAGAGGCTCCGTGGTGGAGCTCAAGTCGGCGGAATGGTGAGGGAAAGACACGATGACGGTGTGACCACCTGACGGTGGCTTTCGCTTTTATAAGACCGGTGGGAAATAGGCCCGATACGGGGGGAAGGGGCAGATCGAAACAACCGGAGGCTCGTGTGCTTTCTTGTGGCTTGGCAATTTAGTTGGCCTCCAGCCGGGATTCGTCAGGAGACGTGATTTGATGCAGGTCTCAACAGGGGCATGCGACCGTCAGACAGACTGCTCGAACCAGTTGAGTCGAGTTAAAGATAAGACGATGATTTCCTCTTTTTATTCCGTTTGTTGTTGTCTCTTTTTTTTTTTTTTTTTTTTTAAAATCCCGCGGTGTTCCGAATTGTCAGGCGGGGGGGTGTAGAGAGAATGTGTATGCAGCGACCGTACAATGTCAAATGCAACCCCTTGTAAAATAAAAAAGGGAGAGAATAAGAAACGAGTGACAGAAGAGAAAGAAAGTTGAAGAGGAAAAGAAAGGCCAGAGGATTCGAGACGGGAAAGTAGGGGCACATCTGGGGTTCAGAGTTGTCCACATACCATGGGGCGGGTCACACATTACGCACCTGGGCAGTATGTAGGCTCCTACGATGTTATGAAGTACTCCGTACACTATGGAGTATATAACCGTACTAGAAGTACAAAAAGTACAAGTACAAATTGGGGAGCCCTGCTTACTACGGAGATTCTAGACGCATCGTAGAGTCCCTGGAAAAAAACAAAACCAAAAAAGACAAAAACCAGTTTCTCCAGCGACCCGAAGCCACACTATTTTGGCCAACGCCTTTTTCTTTTTCTCCTGATTCGAAGCTGGTGGAGTAGACCCCATCGACATGCGACAGGTACCAAACTTAGTCGAGTCTGGACTCTCTCTCTTATTATTTTATTATTTTATATAATTCTTCTCTTGTTTTTGGGTACGTATATTAATACTCTTCTGGTTCGTCCAATTGATTGATAAAGAGAGAACACCTATGTTCTTGAACAGGTTCAACACCTTACAAACAGTAGGTCGCCTGGGCGGGCCCCCGCCGGCCGCCCGGTCCATTTGACTTACTTAATCCTGTAGGTGCCCAGGTGGGTATAGGTCAATCCATAACGAGTTAGTTACCCTCCAGGGCTGATCTAAGGCCAACTTAACTTGTGACACTGGCCTGTCAATTACTCCGTAGTCCTAGCCACATTGAGTCCTACCTATCCCCAGAAAGTAATGTGGAGGTAAGGCTGTGAAACATCCATGGATGCTATGCTGTAATATCATATTTCCAAGGTTGGAGCTGAAATGCGACCCGACCAATGTGGCTGAGACAAGAGGTGGCTGAGACGGTTTAAAGGTTGTCTGAGCCATGGCCCCCAACCAGGTCATCCTTGGTTCATGCAGGTGTGTGTACAGCCGTACCTCGGTACTGAAATATAATTACATCCCCTGTTTGATCTGCTTAATTTTGGTATCTTTATCACCTCATCTTCACTCTCACTCTAAAATTGTCAAAGCCAAGTGCTTTCTTTCGCATGTAAAATTCAAAGGCAACGCGTCCCCAATGTGCAAACCATACCTTGCAACGAGAAGGTCCATATCCATCGTATCATCGTGGGTCAAAGTCCATCATCGTTCGAGATTCTCGGATCCAAACCCGAGGACTTGTATAAAGTCGGATCAACCATGCGTTAATCAACGCCGACACATCTAGCCCATCCAAGTATCTACGCACCCACATTGATAACCATATTCTAGAACGTGATCTCCAATCCATACTCCGGAACTGCCCCACAACATCCACAAACGAGTGACGAGTTTTCCGACCTGGGTACCGGCAATATCTTGACAAAACTGGCCAGCCAAATCGCAAGAACCTTTGGAAGAGAGACACTGGATCGGGTACACGGGGCCGGATCCATCAACAGAAAAGCCCCATAAGCTTACTCGAACCAAACTCTCACTTACAACATACGTGTTGCGCTAAACTTGGTTCGCGTGGTTAGGCGACCAACCAGCCACAGCAGCCTGTTTGGATCTCTCTCGGGATAGATATCAGTACCGAGCAACCGAGCAACCGATATCCACTATAGGAAACCAGCTCAGGACTAGCTTATACACCTAAGCATAATATATGTGAGCTCATAGCTTCTCGCTTAGTCCCAGTGCTAGGCTATTAGTTTGACCCGACGCACCATCCATCGATTATTATACTATTATGATTCATACAGTGTTTAGGGATCAACGCAAAATAGATCTGAAGTGTTTCGTGATTTCGTTTTTGGTTTCAGCTGCAACCGCTGACTCTGTGTCGAAGAGCTTGCTTGCTGACGTCCACGGCAACCTGTGCGTCGGACAGATCTTTGAATGAACCTACAGGTGCAAGAATAGTCGGCCGCTTATGCGGCCTTGTCATGTCTTTTGGTTGGTCTTTTGGGTGCTCTTTTTAGGTGCATAAGAAGACGGTAAAAAAAGCATATTCTGTGCAAGATAATTTTCTACATATAACCTTTAATAGTGATTTTATCCTATTCACTCGATCTGTTACAGAAAGAGTCTTTATCTTCCCTCTGGCATACGTTCTCGATATGAATGTCGCGCAGGATCTGGATCGGGACAGAGATGAGTAGCGAGCAGATTGATGTTTATAAGGAACAACCAGTTTGTCGGAAACTCTGCCATCTCCTCATATTTCCCTTCTTAGTTTAAAGTCTTCATGCTTATCGGAACCGAAACCCAGTCCGGAGGTCCGTTGGTCGCCCTTCCCCGCACTACGATTGCGATGATATCGGCTGTTCCTAGCCACTTGAGCATAGACTATCAAATCTCCCACTTTATGTCTATTATCTAATGGGAACTGCAGACTCTTCAATCAGATCAATAGTATAAGTAAGCATAGGATTTCCTATTCGCTATTCCTCAAGACAAACCTTTCATCATCCAGAATCCCTCTGATACAACAACAATATGCTGTCTTTGTGGGCTGGGGCTATCTTCCTTTGCGGGTGCATTGTAATCTTCGGATTCCTTTCGCCGTTGTCTACAATTCCAGGCCCGTGGTATACTCGATTTACAAGCTTCTGGATTAAGTATCAGGAATTTACTGCAAATCGACGAGAATCAGTTCACCGGTTGCATGAGATCTATGGTCCTGTTGTCCGGTTAAGCCCTAACGAACTATCGTTTACCAGTCTGGATGCGATTAAAGAGATATATGCTTCGGGAGGCAGTGGGTATGACAAGACCGAGTACTATGACCTTTTCAGGCAGTTCAAGATCAAGTCAGAATTTCTACCGGAGAAATAGTTGGAAAACGCTAATCCAGGATTAGAACAATGTTTTCTACTTTATTGAAAGACGAGGTAGTTGCTTGCTCCTATTATAAATGAAATACTCGAATGCTAATATCCACCAGCATAGCAAAAGAAAACGCATCTTTGCCGATAGGTACGCCATGACCAATATCATGAAAGAAAAGCCCATAGCTGTTATTCACGAACGAGCCATGACGTTTGTATCTAAGTGTGTCGAGGCTGGCCAAAAGAGTGTGGATGTTTACGTGAGTTGTCAAGAACAATTGCATCCAACATGAGAAAAGCTAATCTTCTTAGTCTTTGCTTCACTGTTATGCCCTGGACTGCGTTACTCATTTCATGTTCAGCCCCGGCGGCCTCAAATCTCTCAACGTAGCAGAAGACTACGAAATCATGCACGAACTGACCTACCACCAAAGTCTCCAAAGTAGGCACAGTCCAGTTTTCTATACTCCCATGACGAATAATACTAAAAGAACACCAGAAAACCTCCTGGAGTACTACCTCCCTTTATTAGCACCCTATTTCCCAAAATTCCTCCAGGCCCGCAGCTCCCCAAAAGCAAACCAATACGTGATAGACATGGCCGCCCAAACTGGTCTCGACAACCACTCCCTAATGGAAAAGCTCAAGCGCAAAGAATCAAACCTGGCATTAATGCAAGCCGCCGCAGAATGCAAAGACCACATGGCAGCCGGCATCGACACAACAGGCGATGGCCTGTGTTTCTTAATGTGGGAGCTCTCACAGCCCCAGAACCTCTGTTTCCAGGATAAACTTCATAAAGAGCTTAGGGCCGCGCCGGCCAATTCACCCTTGGATAGCTATGTGTACCTCGATGCTGTCATTAAAGAGGCGCTGCGGTGTGCGCCGCCTATTCCGATGTCGCTACCTCGCTATGTACCTGCTGGTGGAAGGGAGATCGATGGGTTCGCCATTCCGGGGAATACTATTGTTAGCTGTCAGCCTTATTCGGTGCATCGGATGAATGATAGTGTTTTCTCTGAGCCTGATCGTTTTAATCCTGATCGCTGGCTTGTTGAGGAGGGAGCTGCTGAGCGGAATAGGCTTTTCTTTTCTTTTGCTACGGGTGGGAGGGGGTGTACAGGGAAAAAGTGAGTTGGTTTCTTTCTTTATTCTGGTATTAATTGCTGATGCTGTTTAGTCTTGCGTTGGTTGAGATGAAGATACTGCTTCGGGAAGTGTATTCTCGTTATCGGACGACAGTGGCTTCGGATATGACTGCTTCGATGAAGCTGGATGATCAGATCATCTCTTCGAGGCCCAAGGGACAGAGTTGTAAGCTGGACTTTGCGGATATCAAGTGATATTGGGTGCTCCTAGAGAGGTGGCGTTTGCTCACCCTTCAGTGAGATCTGAATTGCGCCAAATAATATCTGATCACAAGTTGCATGCTCCCAGGCAAATTATTTTGCTACCTGAAGTAGTAAAAAGAGTTTCCACCACTTCTCATGGACGATCAAATCAAAGATTCAGAGAAGTTTCATCTAGCAATTCCATCGGAATAATATTCAGGTCGAGAAACCCAGCGACTAGTCTTGATCGCTGTTGATCGGGGGTTTCGGTTGAGGAATAAACCCTGTTAGTAAAATACTTGCCAATGAGTATTGTTCAACGGCCAGTGTGGTCTAAGGGGGACCAGTCATATCCTCCATAACAGACCTGTGGAGAAGATGAGAAAGGGAAGATGCGAGTGACGGGGAAAGTTCGAGCGGGGCAACTCTCCCCCCAAGTGGAGGTACGTACGACCCTACGACCATCCATGGATGTTATTTTGATAACATGTGCAATGTGCCCTCTGAGAATTGATTTGATAGGACAATCTTTCTCTTCAACATTCCTAATTTGGCTTTCCATATCTCGTGGACTATATATATTTAAGGTAGCTCCCGGCTTCCACCTAATATAGTCAACCACCTCCACCGAAAATCCTCCAACAAAAAATATGGCCAGTATCAACCCCGAGCAATCCACCTGCCGCTTCTCCAAGCGAATCTCATTCCGATGGCTCACAACGCCCGCCGAGGAATCAACCGATACAATCGTGATGTCCGTGAAGGACTGGTACGTTGATCTGCGGATCGAAACGGCAACAAGCAAAATAGACTGGGCGATTGCCGGACAGAGGATTGTAGAGAGCCAGGAGCCTTGTAAGTTGACTACGTCTTTTACTAAAAGATGCATTATATTCAGTGAAACGATCACGAACAACCCTTTAACTAACCAACTCAATAGTGCGGGTGACCTTCTCCCACGAGCTTGACTCTCACAATGCGTTTGAGACTATTGATTGTGGAACATTTGTCCCCTTGCCAAACGGCGATGATCTCGAGATGGGGTCGATGCCTCGTCATGATCTCCCCGGTGCACCTGACAAGGAGTATGAGGAGGTATGGCGGGAATTGCCATTCAGAGAGGGCCCCGAGGGGCCTAAGAAAGGTGTTTCATGGGTGCTGGAGTCGGATGATGGAGATCTTGGCAGTGGGGAAGGAGAGGTGACGGTAGTGAAGACTTTTATCGGTCGCATCTGGGGAACTTATTTGGCGCTCAGCCAGACGCAGACTCTTACTCGACAGAAGACTGCATCTGGTGAGCTGGTTGTTAAGAAGTCGGGCGCTGGTGTTAGTGCTAGACGAGAAGAATGGGAATCGGGGTGGAAGGAGAAGTATTTGGTTGGGGAAGCTGCGGGTTCTCTGCCTTCGATGGTGGTTGGGTTTGATGGAGAAGGGGTGGGATCTTGGAGAATGCCTGGGGAGAAAGTCGAAGTTCAAGGAAAGACGTATATCGTTCGAGCTTTTGAGGAAATTTAGTGACATCAGGGCTTTTTCGTTATGCATTTGGATACATATATCCGAGCACAGTTCTCGTGATATCGGAAAATGATTATTAGATCTCCCATCTTCAAGATGTTTCATCATTTCGCCATTAGTCAATGAATGCAATAAAATGAACCTCGGTCTTGCACTGCATCTAGGTATGCAAGCTATAGTTATATGAGACGCCGAACAAAGCGGGGAGGTCTAAACCGAGAGTATAAGCTAGAATCAACCCTGCAATGTCGAAAATCAGCTTAGGCAATACAAAATCAAAAGCCTTCAAACCTCGCATTCAATTTGACACAAAAAAACAAGCAACACAACCGACTTTCATAGGACAACTAACCCAACTCCCAAACCAACTGCCCTATACCTTCCCAAACAGGCCAAGCGCACAGATGACTCATCCCACGTGATAGCAATATAAAACCCGCAAACCCGCCCGCTGACCAAATTTCCCTCTTCAAGCGCCATCCCCACCAATGCTGCGTTTCTTTGCTACACACGGCGAGCTTCCCAGCCCGTCCTCGCGACTCTGGGTACTGCCCAGAGCCTCGCGAGACCCCCTTGCAAATGAGAAATTCGGAGGAATCTTCCAACCCCAACCCGCGCCGTCGTTCGTTCGTTCACTCGTTCGCGCGTCGGCGTCGGTCCTGCCCGTGAGGGCCTGGTGTGATCCTAGATCACTTCTTACCCACACTTGCACTTGACATCAGAAACATCGGGCGACGGGAGCTTGCTCCTGGACCCCTTGGGAGAGTCGGTGCGGAGATTGTGTGTGATGACACTTTAGTGCAATACGCAGCATACCTTGCTCTGTTTCTCTTCGGAGGGGCGGATGGTATCATTCGATTCCGATCATTCTGGTGGGGATGGCGCTTCACCTCTTTTTTTCAAGGTCAGTTTATATTTCCTCCCCTGGTTCTTTTTTTTTTTTCGGGGGTGCCTGGGAAGATTTTTTTTTGGCGACCTTGCTGATTAGTGGGGTTGTGGACCTTCCTTGCGAGGTTCCTTAGGGTCCTTTTGCCTGCGGGCTCGTTAGGTTTCGGTCGCTGGGTTTGGTGTTGAGATTTTGTGGGGGCTTTATTCAGAGTGGTGGACATAGTAAAATACCTGAAGTCATGAAATATATTTCTTTTCTAGCCGAATGGCTGGTGGAATATTCTAAATATCCTTTACTCGTAATTGTGTTGGAAATCTTCGAATTCTAAGTGAAGGATGCGTGTTTATAAAAATTTGCGAGGTCGAAACCTCGACCGCTGAATGTGTAAATTATCGTGAACATCTTGTTAAAAACCCCTGTTGTCAGGGAAGTAGTGAAAGAACATTTCCTCCAAGTTCTCTCTATTATCATCGAGCTTCATTTTTAGCATTGCCCATATCCCCTCAAATCACCGATGATTCGTTTACTCTTCGTCGCCGATCTGTGTTCAAACCCATGTTAGCTTGGTTTCCAATGGTGTCGACCTTTGAACAACCAGGAACTTACCTTAGGAGCGAGGTAGAACCGCAGGTGGCCACTTCCCAGACCGTATTCAACAAGCAGCGGCACTTCCTGGGAAAGGTGCAGCACGACAGATGAGGACAGGTTGGAGGCCTTGCAGAAGTTGACGAGGTACTTAAGGGAGAAGGTCAGGGCGACGGGTTCGGAGAGGTTGATGACGACGTTCTGGTCGGGCTTGTCGACGTTGGTGTGCTGGCGGATGGTGACGGATCCGTTACCGATATCGCCCTGGCAGGAGAACTTGACGCCCTCCTTGCTGGCCTCAATCACAACTATGGAAGAAATTAGCATGACGGGACTTTTTTTTTGTCTGCCACCCGGGCTTGGGTATTGCTTCAAAGAGAAAAGTTGCTTACCAGACTCAGACAGCGCGTTGAGATCTCTGCAGATGCGCTGGAACTCAGAAGAAGGCATCTCCACGGTAGCGGCGTACTCAGTCTCAGGGATGGCCAGGTGCTCCTGGTCAATATCCATGAGCTTGATGTCATACTCGCTGAGTCGGTCTGTCTCTGCACTCTCGAACATGAGGTTGACGGCATCGGGTGAGTCCTCGGCCTTGAGGGTCAGGATGTCTTCATTCTGGGCGGCGCGGAGCACCTTGGTCAGGGAGAGCAGGTTGATGCCGAGAGCGATGTTACGGTCGCAACGGTATGGAGAGAAACCCTCGGCGCGGAGCAGCATGGAAACTAGGGCAACGTGCGAGTTGTCCATGGCCTGAAGGGCGATCCCGGAGTCATTGCAATCGAAGTTGCAGTCCTGGACAAGATCCTTGATGGCGTCGACGACCTACACACAACAGTGTTAGTAACTTGTCGATTACTGAATTGGTTGAGTGGTATAGATCACATACGCGCTTCAGAAGGCTGGCCTGTTCCAATCGTGCTTCCAACACTAGAGAGTGGGTTAATTGGTCGGTTCTTCGCACACAACAATCTTTTCGATTTGGGGGTTGGCCGACTTACTCTTGATGGTTTTGTGTGTGTTAAGGTATTTAAAATGGGTCGTAGGGAAATAAGAGGGAAGAGAGTGTGTTTTCGAAGTGAAGAAAGTGGTAGGGAGATGAGGACAGTGAATTGGGTATGTATTTGAAGAAAGATGAAAGAGGCAGCAGGTCTAATATAAGGATCGCGTTGGAAGAGGGTGGGGAAGACGCGGTCGCGTTTGGCGATATGTCCCTTTCGGGTTAAGTTTGATACCTCAGGCGGCAAGGCAACAAGGCCTCCTTCATATCCGTCCCCGTAAGGGTTTGCTGATATATGATCAACAATTACGAGTAGTATGAATATTGAAAAGATAATTCATTTGCAGCAGAGCCAACTGTAATGTACAATATGGATGGACAAAAAAAGACATTGAGGTTAATCCCAAACTCAACAGAGACGAATGTCGAAAGAACACCCACCATCCAAGACCACTTAAAGACAGACGAACAGATAATAATGGCACAAAAGAAAATAAGTAATACGCAAAGCAGCAAGAAGCAAGAAGCAATAGTCCTCGAATAAACACCGGTGTCGCCGAGCCCCGTCTATATGTACATGTTGTGGGTATCAATTTATGACTTCCCTGCTGCTAGCGCTGGTTGAAGTCAAAGCTGTGCCGGATGGCGCAGACGAAAAAAAAGAGGGATCCTGTGTGGAATGCATCAAGCATGAAACAGAAGTCCAAGCCTTGTCTTAGATGCTGGTAACTCGTTTTGCGGAGTTGTTTCCTGGTCGTTGTTTGATGACCATTTCTAGTTCCTTGAGCATGTTATTGCTGGCATCGACCTTTTCTCTGGCAGTCGCCTGTCTGGCACGGTCTTCTCGGACACGTGCAAGACGCTCGTCTCTGGTCAAAGACATTCTCTTGTTTCTCGAGGCCGGGAGTACAACAGCTTCGAAAATTTCCTCGTCATCATAGGTCTGGGTCAGATCCGGCCGGCCCTCGCCAGTTAAGGCTTTCAGCGCATCCGTTGGGCTGCCCTCGACTGCCGTAGACCCTCCCAGACTGGGGGTGGGGGACATGGGTAACAAGAAAGTACTCGGTGGTCGCGAGCGATCCCCGACGCTGAGGCGATCGTGTTGGTTTACCAATGCGGCTTTGCCAGCTTCCCACTCTTGGAGAAGAGCCCTAAGATCACTGCCAATCGAGTCATATTGTGTAAGGAGGTTGGCTTCGAACTCATCAGGGTCTGCACGTTCTAGATTGGCATGTGACTCCTCGCTGGCAATGTGCATTTTAGCATGCAAGGCACGGACCCCTTGTGACAAGGAGTTGAGCCGTCGAAATTGAGAACGCAGGTAGTCCTTGCTTGGTGAGGCGGAAGGTAACGGGGATGGAGGAATGGTATCATCTGCGCATATTAGCCAATGTCCTTGTGCCAAAAAAAAAAAAAACAGGAATCATCACTCACGGTCCTCTTCATTTAAAATTGCAGTCATTTTCAGCATGCTGTTGCCGGTCACCGTAGCGAGCTCACGCATTTCCTCGACAGCAGAACTCCACCGAGCAATATCAGAGCCACCGCCATCGGCGCTGAGAGCTAGCAAGCAGCACAGCACGCTTTTTCTCACACTATACAGTTTTCCAAATAGATCCCTCAGAGCACGCAGTGAGTACTGGTCTTCGTTGGCTCGCTGCGACAGCGACACCTCGACCGCTTCGAGTTCTTCCAATCCAATATCATAGATGTCGTAATATTTCGCAAGATTGCCGTCATCGGTAAGTGGGCGTAATGTATTCTGGGATTGAATATACCGCTCGAGCATGGAGTAGAAGCATTCGGAAACCGCTCTGCGTAATCTCAAGCATCGTCGCGTTTGTACTAGATCTTCCAACCGACTGATGGGGGGCAGAGGAGTGCTTCTGTGGTAGTTGGTTAGCACTTTTATAATCTCGAACCCAAACTTCATGTTCTTACATCCGATAACCTCTCGAGACAAGTTCGACCTCCTGAATGAAAACCACAGAGGCTGACGCAGCAGAGTCAAATCCCTGAGCGTTTCCAATGAAAGCGCCAGCTGCCTCAACAGCCTGGTGCCGGAGATATTTCAACCATTGTCGTTTTGCGAAAGCATAAAACAAGACACCAACAGCGGGCACGAGTATCAGAAGCACTCCAACTTTCTTGAGACTGAGTCCTGACCCAGTCCTCGAACGGCTCCAATGTAATAACCAAGCGATGGAAAAGGATGTGGCAGCTGTGACGATGGCGCCTTGAATTCCAAAAGTTGTAGATAGGGACGGGAGAGCGGAGGGTTGCTTTGCAGATAAGACATCTGCAGCGGATGTGTAGGAAGGAGCGCTGTGTTCGTTTAATAGTTGCGATGCGACAATAACGTAGCCAAATTGTTCCAAAAATCGTTCGTTATCGCTTCGTGCCAATCCGACATTCAGGGCGGACTAAATGAGAAGAAGTGTCAGCATGATCCCCTACTATCGTAAACGAGGGGTCGTACCGAGCAGGTGTCATATAGTTTCCCGATTAGTTCCCCCTGTAGTGTTCCTCGTAGATTGAGAGGCTTCGGTAGCTTGTTTCGGACGCGAGTCTGGAATTTGGAAGCCCCCCGAGGGGCAAAGTTGGAGGAACGGGTATGATCATCGTCGCTGTGATTCTCGTGATTCTCCTCCACGGGCCAACTCTCTTCGTTTCCACCCTCCCCTGACAAGGATGTCAGTTGGGTTTGAATTCATCAGACATCTTGGACATAACTCACCTTCCAAATATTCCGCCAAAGGCGAGTTCTCATACACGATTGATTCCATGTTACGGGATCATACCGCGATAACAGGAGAGCGGAGAAGGTGGGCGAGGGGTGAGGCAAAACAGGTGATGAAACAGGGCGCTTACAGATCCATATCGTAGAAGGGTAGGCGCCAGGCAGACAGAAAAAGAAAAGTACCGATCAGTAAAGAATGTGAATGTAAATGTGAATGTGAATGTAAATGTAAATGTAAATGTTTAGGGTTGGAAATGCCTGGGGCCACGTTGAGGCACGTCCGGGGAAAGGAGGTCTCCCAGTCACGAGAGTCTAATTTAGACAATGACCCACTTACCTGTTCCTGATGTACTTTGATGGTCTCTAACAAATGTACGGAGTACGGAGGTAAGGGTTGTCTATATATTTAATTTTAAAGGAGATTAGATGGTACATAAAACTACGATGTACAACATACATGTACATGTCTAGTTTCCAGCCAATCTGGTTAATGGGGATCTACATCTTGCTGAGTTGGCCAGCTGCAGTTTTCCAGGGTTATCCATGGATGCACATATTGCTGAGTCATCCAGTATAATCTGCCAGCCTGGTAGATCTGGCATCCACATACATCCATTTTGAGGATAGATCACCATCCATCATGCTTCTAGAATGACGATCATGCTTCTGTTTTGATTTTGATTTGGACTAAAAATGGATAAGATAGTCAAAGTCCTAGTTGCTTGAATAAGAGCGCAAACAATTAAGTCAGGGTAACGATGACTATATTGTATGACCCTACTGTGATATTCCGTGCATTATGCATGTCATATAAGTGTTTCACTCTTTCACCAGTATATTCCAGATACTAAGGACCAGATCGTCGATTCAAATCTAACCTCCGACCCAACCAGGATGATGCTGCGCAGGATATCAGCCGCCTTTTAATCTCCATAGTAAGAGGACTTGACTCCCAAGAGAGATAAGCAGGTGCAGATCTCCAGCAAGTAAGGGGATTGTAGATAATAACATGGCATCAATGAAGATACTCTTTGGGGAATATGCATACCATTATACAAAAGAATAGTCGGACGATTATACGGCCCTGTGGTGTCTTTTAGATGGTGCACAGCAATGCATCCGTCATTAGCTACGGATCTTAAAGAATAAGGGCGAATTAAGAATATCAACAATCCTTTGGGCTCGAATACAGTCTTTCCTGAATATAAGCGTATAATCAATGTAGTGGTTTATCTCATCTACAATAACAGGTACGCTTTATACGTGCAGATCAGGGCAAGACAGTAATGGTTATTCTGTAATTCCACGCAAAGATTCGCCAATCGAGATATAGTATGTCCATACTACACTGACGTAGATGCTAATAGAATTCTCCGTAAACCATATGTAATGACTTTCGCTCCTTATTCATGTGATAAATAAATAATAGGTTGGGCCAAATCTCACCCGGGGCACCCTGGTGGATATAGTTGTTTTCCGATAGGTCAGATATGATCGTGTAGCTGTTTTAGTAGATTAGCGTGGGAATGGGAATACTCTCGAAAGATCCTAACTTACACCCACCACCGGCAGCCCGAACCTCCCCCGGACATCTCATATTTATCACGGTGACGACTAAAGATGAGACGTGCGAAGAATAATGTAGTGATTCCTACTCCGACCGGGAAGTCCCAATATGTGATTGCAGATGTGGTTTGGACGTAGCCATGCCGAGTCCACTCAAGGATTCCCGTCGGGTTATCGAGTTCAGCCCTCATGTTGATTCGAGTTGACGACACACCATCAGGATGAATCAAGTAAATTGACCAGTGGTTATCGCTGGTGTTAGGACCAGCTGCACCAAGGGTGTGTACCACCACACGGACGTGTGTGACTGGCGTATTGTCTGCTTGCACAGCTTGTGGAGATATTCGAGGTGCCATTGAGGAAAGGAGGTTTAAGAACTATGCTATATGTTGTATGTTGAAGAAGCTAGTGAAGGACAGTTCTCGTTTAGGAGATGAAGCCCATGGGTTTCTTGCTCGAATTTAAATGGACCAGATCTTGGAGCCGTGTCTACTAGCCTAAATCTCATGAATCCTATAGGCTCTAACGATTCGAGCGGTAGTGTATGCGTGGCAGAACCTCGCTCTTATCCATTGGGTGGGAACGGTTTGTGGAGGACCATGCTAAGAAGCCACGAAGACTTGTAGTCTTGTACTTATTTAGCCGCTTTTTACACCGCTCTATGCAGTGTATTGTAAATTATTGATACTATAGCTCACTTTGTATGCCAGATGAAAGGCTTCATTTTCGACAACCGTAAGAGAATAAGGGTACTAGTTATGAATATTTGAATACTAAGGCATTTGTAATAGAAATTCAGGTATTTTAACTTTTCTGCCGTTCTAAAGTCAGGCATTCAGGCACCAAAATCACCTATAAATGGGGGTTTGAACCCTGGCCACTGTAGTCTTCATACCCGTCTTCTGCCCCTTAGCACCTTCACACCACTCCGCACCAAAATTGTATCACATCTTCCTCAGGACTTTCCCTTTGTCGATTCCGAGGTGTTTTTTTTTGTTCTCCTTGCCCGGTTCATCACCCTCGTTAGTCATCTTTTCTTTCCAAATTTTTCCCCTTATAACCGAGGGCTTGCCACGTCATCGGCGTTTTATTATCGCACCACATTGCGGAAAAGCATGGCGCTTCCTAAAGACATCCAACGAGCTTCGGTGCTCTCCCGCTGTGCAAATCCGTTACCTGCGAATATTGTCAGCCAATATGGAAAGCGTATTATCAAGGTGTCCGATCACGAAGTGGTTAAGTGGGGCCCGGATATTACGAAAGAAGAAGCCGATAATCAAAGACTAGCCTATGAACTTATGGATAGTCACCTAGTTCGTGTTCCACGTGTGTATGATTTCTTTTCTGATGAGCAGGGCCGGGGCTATATTGTGATGGAGTATATAGAGGGGAAAAGTATGGATCTATTAGAAGATTCAGCCGCCCTTCAAAAAGTTGTGGACGTGCTTGATTATTTTGCAACATTACGGCACACTAATCCTGGCCCTCTATGTGGAGGACCATGTCGTGGGCTTCTCTTTCCCGAAACCGAGGATTTGGTATTCGACAATCTTGACGAGATGGAGAAGTGGTTCAATAGCCGTCTGTTGCCAGACAACCCGAAGTTGTCTTTCCAGGGCTGTGACCTCGTGTTCTGTCATTTAGATCTCGCGCCTCGAAATATCTTGTTGCAGAAAGATGGATCTCTCTGCCTTATTGACTGGGCATCTGCCGGTTACTACCCAAGGTTGTTTGAGTTTTGCGTGCAGTGGATTGTTGAAGGAAGGGACGACAGCTTCAATTCCCTTCTCTTGGAATCGGTGAAGCCTTTATCAGCCCAAGAGATGGCACAGAAAACGTCCATCCTATGTGCTTGGCGAAATATCCAAAAGTATCCTTTGTAAGTGCAGAGAACTCCCACTTTTTATGGATTGACACTCATCCCACTCTAAGTCAAAACGGAAATTCAAAATCGGTTGGAAGGTCAACAGATTTTATCCGCCTGTCCCCCCCTCCAATGCCAAAATATCCACCCGGGCAGTATGAACAAGCTCAGGACGAATGCTTTGCACATAAAAGTTACCCACTTGCCGCTTCTTCAAGTTCGGCTCTAGAAGTTGGAAAGCAAAACAAAGTCCACAATACCCTCACTCGATATTTACGCCATCTACGTTCAATATTCGTTCCACGAAATAAGCTATCTGAAATTGACTAGCATCGGAGCTTTTTCAGACGGCTACCTACAGAAATACAGTATCGCAATAACTCTTTAAAGACACCCATCCAACGTAGTATATTTTATTTATCCCATGGTAGTGTTGTGAAGTGGGAGTGGACCTAAAATACAGCAATATAAACCAATGAGAGAGTTATGTATCGGTGGCACATTTCGTTGCCCGTACTCACGGATGGAGCCCTGGAACATCATCGTACCCCGCACCATACAACTTCCCTTTGCTCCCACAAGTCCAAAAGTCATTCTACACTTCGGCTTGACTGCCATTTTACCATATTCACTTTTACCTGCTTGTGTTGCAATATGAGTGATGCCGACCCCGAACGCGAGGATCAGCCCGAACGCGAGGACCGCCCTAAAGGTGCTACTGAGGAGAGCAAAGCAATCAACTTCAAATGGACTCCTGAGCTTGTGAAGATTGGAACCTCTCGCGGCGCGATACATCCATCTCTCGGTCCTATTGAAGAGCACAACGGCTTTCGTATTTTCAAGTACCGACCTGGCATGACCCTACCAGATCCTGCTGATACGCGTGAATGTTTAAGATGGGCGGGACTATCTGATAAGAAGATCATAGAGGTAGAACAGAAGTTCGACCAACTATACCCAGATTATCAAGGACCCAGCTGTGGATATGCCGAGAAGTACCACCGGACTGGCTACACTGAAATCATATTCCCTTTCCCTAAGGTTGAGAAAATGTTGGATATGTTCATTCAAGGAATGCATGATGACCACGGTGAGGTTGAAGAAACTCATAGTGAGTGTCTTCTAGTTCGTGCGATAGGTGGTTGTTGGGTGCCTAGATGCCTGAGGCCCAGGGCCCCACTTGGGACAGATCCTCTTTGTGCAGTAGATAGTCTCTCTCTCTCTCTCCTTCTCTCCTTCTCTCCTTCTCCTCTCCGTCCTACCGCAAGCAGAGAATCCTACAGTGTTATTTCTCCAATCTCAACCACGTAGATTCTCTGTTAGTGGTTCTTAGCTGATCAACTCAATATATAGGCTTTTATCGAGAAGGGCATCCAGCTTGGACTCCGCCTGGAATTTGCGATATTTTGTGGACTACACAAGGATGATCCCCGGGCTATTGAAAACCCCTATCTATTCGAGAAAGACTGGTTTTGGATGGGCCCAGCAAGCATCATGACTGATACCCTAATCTCATTTTGGAGGGGAGTCAAGAAATGCATGGTGTCGAAACTGCTATATGACGGAAAGGCATTCACGTGTGATGGGACATGGGTGGTCCGTGAAGGAGAAACTATAGATCGAGCAAAAGTGAGGGTGGACGACCGAGAGCGTGAGAGGCTAAGAGAACAAGCGGAAAAGGAATACAAAGCAGAAAGGGAGCGTGAGAAAGAAGGGTTGGAGAAATTGTGCGCCGAGGAGGACGCCATATGGGCAGAGCAAGACAGACAGGCGGAGATGCTGAAGCGACAAAGCATAGACAAAGCTGCTCAGCAGAAGGATGACGAAGCAATGCAGTAAATTGATGTTGATATTGGAACCGACAAGCTTAAGACATAAATACCATGAATGACACCACCATGCCCACGAATCTAGTGGCTCTATATGATTTGGTGGGTCGTGGGCCCGGAATGAAAGCCCACAAAGCCCATTCGGGCCCATAATGGGCCCCAAACGATACAAACATACCAATTTATCGTAGCTGCATAATTAATGCATTTTTCTCTGGTTTTTTTGGGTATTCAAACTACCATCTAAACGATATATGAAGCTATATAGAAACTTTAAGCTTATAAATTAACTCAAAGGGCTGATTGATTTGATTAAATACACTAAGAATTTTTGAAAAACTTTACTTTTTATAAGGGGTACTTGCTTTTATTAGGGAACTACATAGTAAGTAGAGGTACTATTAGTGCTATTACGGTTAACACCTAAGTACAGACCCAATATATATATCTCTTTATACTAATACTCAGTAATCCTCCTAGGTACGAATTTATGGTCAAGTTGGATCCTTTTAGGGTGATTTTATATGAAATTTTGTATAAAATCTGGCATTATAATGCTAAAATCAATATAATATCTACTAGATTCCTACTTCTTACCATGATAATGTGATAAAACTAAATATATAGGTTGGTACATACGTAAAATATAGCCATTAATCAGCTGCTTTATGCGTGCCAAGACTATATTTGTGTATAGAAATGGGCTTTTGATGGGCTTTGAAGGGCGCCCATTAATGGGCTGTGGGTTGGGCTGGGCTTTGAAGACTGGGCCCATAGCCCACTGCGGGTTGGGCTGTGGGCCTGGGGCTTGGGCCCATTTGTGGGCCATTGAGAGGTCTAGGCTTGGATGACTTTAGGCTTCGCGTAAACCAAGTAGATTTGGCGACCGTTAGCTTCCCTCTTCCATCTTTCAGTTTCTTCACTCCAGACGGAGGGTCTGACCCTACCCTAGGAGCTTTAGCTGGTTAAGTATGTAGGCCGTCTAGCGAAAACCCCTCATAAATTTAGCACGGTTAGGAGAAGTTGATAATGCTTGGAGAGAAGGCCACGGGTAAAACGCGATTTTGATTCGGATATTTAAAACTCCTTTTAAGGCCGCTACGTGATAACAATGCGTCGTGACGTGCTCGCATACACGAACCATCGTCAGAGCCAACTCAAGGCTTGCTTTTATTCTAGCAATATCCAGATTGCTTATTCGCACATGAAATTGCATACAGAGCTTACAGTACACCCTTGGGCCAACACTTAGATTAATAGTTCTTTTGGATTCTCGGTCACGATATAGATACTCCCTTTTTCATGTTACATAACGTCTCAAGCCACCATACTGAGCAAGCTATAAGGCAGTGTCTCCTGTATGTACAGCGTAAATGTGACACTGTTCATGTTGTGAAACTGAATACCCTATTAGCTTGGTGTTCGCAACACCATATATATCTGCAACATTCTACGAGTCTACTTGCTCATTCAGATGTTCTTTGAACCCCTTGTTTTGATCTTTATCCCAGCTACGTGTCTAACTAGAAAAGCATATTTACCAATCAAATCGTGCTACGGCAGCGATGTGTTGTCGTCAGGAGGTACATTTGCTGTTTCAGAGCGGGGTAGGCTTTCTCCCTAAGATATATTTATATGCCTATCTAAAGGCATGTTACGATCATATTCCTGATTCTCAGCACAACTCCTTGACATCATTTTAAATTAAAAACCCCACGACCGGCACCAAGAGTCAAAATGGCACGCAAAGGACGCAAAGCTACGAAACTGTGGTCGCTCTATCCTAAGACCCATGACGATGTAGCACAGGTCTTAGATGAGGAAGGGCTTCAAATGGATTTCTTGGATGCCGATGACGAGGCAACCAATATCGAGAACTGGGACACCAATGTGATGGGTCGATTTATATGTCCAAACAGGGGGTGTTACTCCAGCGGTTGGTCGAGCAAGAAAGTCCCGATTACCATTCGCATGTACCCTCAGCAGCGATATAATGCACGAGTGTATCACCAACGATGCAGAAATTGCAAAGCAGTCGGCCGACTTGTCCTCGATACTGAAAGCTATGTGGAAAGAGTGACTTATTGGCTTAAAAAGTGGAATGGAATTGAGGTACAGCCACCTGGCTTCGTTGGCCAGAGCAGAGGACCGCACGACAGTGAACTGTGTGAAGGGTGTAGAGTTGGCCATTGTTCCAACTCGAGTCAAGATTTAGCCCTGGTGATGGCAAGGTGAGCTGAGTACCAACTTTTCTCACACAATAACTAATCATTCTAGCTTATCTATCTGAGCGCTGTCCTATAACGCACATATTCTTGGCTCGCAGGCTATCCAGACCAAGTGAGCGAAGCTTAGCGATGAACACAGAAAGGTCGGAAGTGCAATAATTCTGATCGGTAACTTTGTGTTCCTCCTTCATTCTTAGTCTTGTGGTGCATGAGGTTCAGCAAGAAAGAGGGCTAATATGCTTAAACCAATTATTATCTTCTTTTCTCTCTAATTAACTTATTCTTTCGCTACCTTCGCCATTTGCTTTGTTATGATTACGTTCTTGCTGTGTATCATATAAAGAATTAAATTACGCTACCAGGAATTGATATTTCTAGCCTTTTTGTACTATAAGTGGGTTATACCACGTATCTCATGCAGTTCGATACAATCGTATGCCCAATCGCGGATGAAGATGAAGTTGCCCCGTTACCTGATGCGGGCGGGCGCACGCTTAGGTGATGCCCTTTGCCGCCCCCAACGCCTTGGGACGCCTTGGGACGCCTTGGGCTGATGCGGTCGCGAAATTCCTTATTACCCCTCATCCCTCACCTTCCCTGATCTTGTCGAATGGTTGAGTTTCCAGCCTACCGACACCTTCGAGTCTAAGTGACATATTTATATTTCTGCCTATTCACCGTGACCTTCTCGGCATCAATACCAGCCATTTTCCATCACAAACCCATACGGAGAACGGAATCGGTCCAGCGTGAGAAGGATGGCGTCTACAATATCACTTGGGTGCTCGAATTCGGGGTTCCAGATCGGTCTGAACCATGGCTCGGTAGTCAATAACTTCCACCCGTCCATTGAAGAACGCGAAAAGGACCAAAGAGCATGTCTTGAAAATCTGTTCGTCACCGAGCCGGAAGAGGATCTCAATATGTGGAAGCGGAGGAAAGGACCTCGTACCTCAGGGACCTTCAGCTGGTTCTTGGAATCAGTAGAGGTCATATCTTGGTTTCGGCAGGCAAAGGCCGCAACCGATATAGAACAAAACGTCATATGGCTACACGGCAGTCCGGGAATCGGAAAATCCACAATGGCCATGATGCTTGCTGAAGAACTACCCAAGAAGGATTATTTTTCTAGAACTGATAGTATTCTGTCATTCTTTTTCTGTGATTCTAGCTCTGATAATCACAGAACGGCAACTTCTGTGTTGCGAGGTATCCTGTACCAAATCATCAAGAAACATCCATCGTATATGGAACAAATGATGCCAACATATAAAGCCCAGGGAAAGCGTCTTTTCACATCATTTGACGCACTTTGGGCGGTATTGATGGATTTCGGCCGAGCGTTGAACGGTAGCGAGATATACTGCATTATCGACGCTCTCGATGAATGTGATACTGAATCACAGGATACACTACTTGAACAAATTCGTCAATCATTCACACAATCGAATGAGACCAGTCTGGTCGCATGCAAAATTCATTTTTTAATCGTCAGTCGTCCGTACCCCGAGATCCAGTCTTTGCTATCCACCTTTGGATATGTTGATCTCGGCTCGTGCAAGGAGATAGCCAATGACTTAAGAGCCATGATTCAAGATAAAGTACAGGACCTTGCAAGGCGGAAAAAATATCCTGAGTCTGTTACGCAGAAGGTGTCACGAATATTGGAAGAGAAGGCAGACGGAACATTTCTATGGGTTGGGATTGCCTGTCGCGACTTGCATGGGGTACCTTCAAGGAGGGCAGTTGAGACGCTACTGGCTAAGCCTCGTGGATTGTATCCTTTATATAAAAATCTGCTCAGTGCAGCGGTCGAGGCCAACAACTCACATGATGACCCACAACTAAAGATGTTGTTGATGATTGTCACATTTGCGTTGCGACCACTGAAGGTAGCGGAAGTAGCCGAAGCATGTCGATTATACTTGGACAAGGATATCACGACTCGCCTCCGGTTCACCGAAGAGGTCATTGAGTCGTGCCACTTCTTGATTGTCATCGATAAAGGCTACGTGCGGCTGCTACATAGGTCTGTCCAAGATTTTCTCATGACTGAGATGGATAATTTCACAGCTGTGAAATCCAATCTTGTTCTGTCATATCGCTGCATTGAGCTAATTTTCCAATATTGTCGGCCCGGTATGGACAAGTCAGTTATGGAGCCGACATACGGATTTCTGGCTTATTCTGTACTGTATTGGCCGAAGCATGCAAGCTTGGCCGAAACGGAATTTACTACCCTTGAAGAACATGGAAGTCTCTTCCAAAACAAGTTCGGGACATGGAAATGCTGGCTGGAAAACTACAACCATTTGAAAAGAGGGTCATGGGGTGCTTTAGGAACAGGAATATCTGTCAGTCATGTCGCAGCTCGATGGGGAATTATACCTCTCCTCTTGACCGCCCCTCACGGTGCATGGGAAGACAACGATGACCGCGGACAATCGCCACTGCTCATTGCGGCTGAAAACACTCAAACTGAAGCCATGCGTGTCTTAGTTCATTCTCAAGTGCGGTTGGATTCTTTAAACAACAAGCATCAAAACGTACTTCACATTGCATGCATGAATGGTGGCTTTACTGATTATGACATGGTAAAGTCTCTACTCAACAAAGGGGTCTCCCCATATATCTGTGATGAAGACAACATGACGCCTTTCCTCTACGCGATTGGGGACCGACGTACAGAACTTGCTCAAATCTTTCTCGACTATGGCTTCAACCTGGAATCTAGGGTTCAAAGGCGGTCGTGGCCCGGACGAATCACAGTGAGCAGCTCACCATATGGAATGGTTGAGGGCCAGGATGAGAACATGGAATCCGGGCTAACAGCACTCCATTTCGCGGCCCTCAATGCATGTACAGAGATCGCTGCCCTCTTGCTTCAGCGTGGGGCTGATCCTAACGCTTGTTCTGATTTTGGAGACACTCCTTTACATCTTGCGATTAGGCACCGGCTGAATGATGATGAATGGGAGGTTGGTCGGTATGCTGTTGAGTCATTGACTGGCTTTATTGAGGATCATGACGGTTTGGAAGCTTCTGATATCTATCGAGATATCAGCGATACTAGGATACGCATTATTGAGATACTCCTCGAAAGCAAGTCTATCAATGTCAACACGGCTAACAATAATGGGGACTATCCCCAACATTTGATCGACTTCCGTCCATCTCGAGCGTTGTCTATCTTGGAAAAGCTTATGGAAAATGGAGCCGATGCATCACAACCAAACGGAGATCGTCAGACGTGTCTCCACCTTGCTAGCAAAGCAGGAAACCTGGCCGTGGTTTGCGAACTCGTAGGAAAAGGTCATGATATTATGTTGGAGGACTTCTACGGTCGCAGCCCATTTTACTATGCAGTCTCCGGGGGCTGCCTGGATATCCTATCTTGGATGTCAAAAATATGCGATCGTGTGCTTCCAGAGGTCTGGAGCTCCCTTGACCACTTTGGCAGAACTCCGTTACATCATCATGTTGCATCTGATTTTTGCTCAGCTGAAGTCATCAATTTCCTAATTCAAATTGGCTGCGATGTTAGTCAGTCGGACAGGGCCGGAAACTCGCCCTTGGGCCTCTATGTGAGCTCATTTCACCTATCAATTCGGAGCGAAATATTCCTTTTGCTTGTTCAGAAAGGTGCCGATCCGCACTGGATGAATGGAAACGGACAAACGTTAGCACATCTTATCATGCATCACAAGGGAGCAGATACCACGATCCTCGAGTTTTTGTTTACCGTGGGTATAGACCCGGCTACCAGAGATCTTGATGGGAGGACATTAATGCATCACGGAGCTCTTCATGGTGCTTTTACTGAGGATCTGATGTATTTTCTCAATTGTCAAGGCGTCCTAGACCATTATCTCACGGCCACCGACTTCACCCACAAGACTCCTCTCGACTATGCGAAGGAGATGGTTCATCGAGAGAGACACGTAGATACCTATGGTGACCGAAAATGGGAAGAATCGTTGAAGAACCTGAATGCAACATTGTCATCGTGGTATGAATTCGTTTCGGCTATAATCTGTGCTAAAAAGCTAATATAAAACAGTACTAGTGATGGTGCGAAGTGATCAACGTTCTGTGTATTTAACATGATTTCTCGCTTGTCTCGCCGTCGTATGTGTTGAAGTAGATGGCTTTAGCTTATCTTTGCTTCCCTTAAATGCGGTGCTTATAGCAAATGGGCCCCCGTTCTCATTATCTTATACGTTTCCCGCGATGACGACGAGGTTCGTTAGGTTTTCGGTAATTCAATCTAGTAGAATAGTGCACCTGTAATGATGACAATTTGCGGCCGGGAAGTGAGCTGTGATCTCTTTCTAAGACAGCTTCTTCTCCCCCTTCAGCCTCACTCGTAGGCTATCTTCGGGTGTAGAATATCGTTGGCGCTTCCAAATTTTGCCCTTTTTAGTCATAGATAGCTACGAGGCCTTGCATAAAAATCAGTTGTACTTATTATTGAAGATATTACGCTAAAAACTTTGGAACTAGGCGAAAATCGGTTCTGTATATACGCGTAAGGTGGCGAGCGGGTGTCCACGGGTATGAACGTGAAATAAAATGTGGGGTCTAACCCCTGGCCCTCGATAGTGAGAATAGCTCACCTAACAATATCACGGCTCTAAGGTAGCCCAGGTGAGTGATTGGAGTTGTATGACAGTCACGCTTGAGCGTACACTTTCCCTGCCTGTAGGTTGGCAGCCCCCGGAGATTGGATCATAATGGGGGCCAATTCAGCCCAAGCGCCACAGGAGCACAGAGAAATAATCATCTTACGCGGCTAAGAATCGGCGTTTCTGGCCACTTTGTAAGGAGGTTGGAGAGTGCAGTTGCTAGGTTGGGAGGGGTATGAACGAACGATGGCATGGTGAGTGGGGTGTTTATTTTTGGACAGGTAGCAGTACAGTACATGACTATGTATACAGTTCTATACTTTCAGCCTTGTTACCGTGTAAATCTGGAACCAACTTTATATACGAACCTTTCTATATAAGGCTTAGCGTATCATGTGATTAGGGTTTGAAAGAACATCTCTGTGTTCCTAGATGAGCGCGTCTTCCTTCTCCAAAATAACTCACTCCCTTCTGCTTCCCTGACCCTACGTAGTAGTGTCATCACATGCCGAACTAAATGTGTTGGAGCCTGGCCACGTGATCTGAACGGCTGCCTGATCTGTCAGGCTAGTAATGCCTGCTTGTTTAACTAACTAACCTTCTTCCTCTCTCTCTCTCTCTCTCTCTCTCTCTCTCTCTCAGTCTTCTGTTAGTCTTTCGATACAGCCTCTCCACTCTGCTTTTTGTTATCGTCTCGCCAACATCTACCCTCACACTATTTTTACGCTTTGTCCCCATCTCCAAGCTGCCTGCCATGGATTCCTCAAGGGAATATCTCGACGAGCTTGAAGGAACGCAGGTCACGTTTGATGCTATTGCGGAGCCACCTTTCAACTTCCCTGCCCAGAAATGGATAATAATTGAGAAGCTCGGCGAAGACTCCAATTGCCTAACAAAGGAAGACATTGCCGCGGATCTCGGGCCTTCAGATACCTCCGGGAAATTCCTATGCCGACCTGTTACTAAGGAAGACGACAACAGGCGCGCATTTTTACGTATTTACCAGCAGGTTCCTATAGCCGGGACTGAAACCAAGAAGGCCGCTATACGGGCTAGACAGGCTGTCGACACCCCTCCTGACCACCCAGAACTAAGAGCTTTCCGGACATTTAGGAAGCTAGGCTGTGACGTTGTTCCTCGGCTACTAGGCTATCAACAGCGTCGGCAAGACCACGATAAGGGTGTTCCTGGAGGATATGTCACATATATTCTATGGGAAAAAGTCGCTGGCGAGTCTCTTAATTTGACCGAATTCTGGAGGCTCCCTTTGCCGATCGTAAGGCTATCCGCGATAAGTTTCGTGAAGTCTATACGTATAAGTATCTAGTAACCATGGCGAAACATTAGGCTAATAGAGAGCAGAAGGTTTCTACCGTACGGGTATATGCCATGTATGGCTAGTGAATCGAAGATTATTTATGATAAGTCTAGTGGCCAAATGTATGTCTATATAAGATCATATGGACTATGATAATAATATCTTTCACTAGGCATATCTGCGGATTCAAGCTCGCATCTGAATTTGACGAACCTCAACAGTGGGATGATATTAACTACTTCCTATACGGACTTATCCAACCCTCCGATAGCATATTCTACTGGGAAGGAACACCACCCGAAACGGCGGATTGGATCCAAGATGTCAACGGCTGGACGTGGTGAATATGGAAAAAACCACAGCGGATGTCACATTTCTTAGTTAGTAAGCCTTAGATAGTTACCCTTACGGTCAGCTGATCAGTCAGCTGACTGTCGGGTACGTGATGGGGATCTGTCACATTGTGGGTCCATGGGTGCCTGAGGCACCCAGGCACCCAACACAATTCCAACATCGCTTACTCAAGTCGCAAAGCCTACCTGAGCGTCTACAGTCGATCATCAAGGAACATGTCCACCCCAAAAGTGCGGACGCAGTCAGGGTGGCAGGAATACCTATCCTCTCGAAATGCTGGACTACCATATCTCCCAGCTGTCGCGGAACTCAGCACGGAGGTGGTACGAATACTTGGCGGAAACCCGGGCAACATGCAACTGCAAGGAACCAATACGTACCTTGTCGGTAGTGGCCAGGAACGGATTTTGATAGATACAGGACAGGTAGGCGATTTTGAACATCCCAATTTCGTACTTAGAGACTAAACAAGAGAGCCATTTCAATAGGGATGTCCAATCTGGCTCACCACTCTGGTCAACTATCTTGACAAACACCAGTTAAGCATATCCCAGGTGCTGCTGACACACTGGCATATCGATCATACCGGTGGTCTCCCGGCGCTACTGGCTCAGTATCCACATCTGGCCGCGGCGGTCCACAAGGCCCATCCGGACCCGGGCCAACATTCGATTCGCGATGGACAGACTTTTACTGCCCAGGGAACTACCCTGCGAGCCGTGTTCACGCCCGGACATAGTCAAGACCACATGTGCTTTGTCTTGGAGGATAGTGGCGCCATGTTCACAGGTGATAATGTGCTCGGACATGGAGGCAGTGTTGTTTTGGAAGATCTGGGACGATACATGAAGAGTTTGAAAGTCATGACCCAAAGTGTGCGCAATGAAGATATAGCAGTTGGATACCCCGGCCATGGTACTGTGATAGACGACCTACCAGCCAAACTCATAATCTGGAGCCGACATTGGGAAATGCGAGAGAAAAAGGTCTTATCAGCTTTTATCGGTGGCAACACAAAGAGAAGGGCGCCCTTGACGACGCGGGAGATCATCGTATGTCTCTACGGGCCCGATATGGAGGTGATGGCGGGGCCTTCCATAGCGCAGGTTCTATCGAAACTAGCTGATGAAGGGAAGGTTGGATTTGCTGTCGCGGGACAAGAGAAGAAGTGGTTTATGCTATAGAATAACTTTGTTCAATGCTTAATTGGGGTGGATTAGACAAATGTATATGATGGGAATTCGGACATGGTCCTGCTAATAGTATCAACCCTCCAAGTGCCTAAGCTGAGCGCTGAGCCATACTCCATGTCCCTTGTGTCGTCTTTCTCGAATTATGCCTTTCGATTAACTGAGTATTCAAAATTTCCAAGTCTCACATCGCCAAGTATAGAGACCGCATAAGCAGCCGACTGTATTTATTTTCCTGTAACCCATTATTCCAAAATGGCAATACTCCAAAAGTGAGTGCAAAAGAGCACACATCGAAGAACGGGATCTAGATCTATCCAAGCCAATTAGTAGCGGCATTCGTGATTTGCTGCAACCTCTCGCGTAAAAAAGTAGCCATTCCTGGCATAATGTCCGTCGGCAGCTCCGATTCATTTCTTGGACCTTCCCGAATTGAAGCCCCACCCCCTTCGTTGTAGCGCGCAGTAAGCTGTAAAATGAGCCTGGCCATCTCCGAAAGCTCTGCAAAGACTTGCATAGCCGTATTGTCATGCCCAGGGGATGTATTAAGCCCGACACCAGGAATCCCCCATGGCGTCGGTTGACTGGGTAACACAGTTGGAGGTTGGTCTTTCGCAAAGTTCGAAATTGCCATGGCATGTATATCGATGATGGACATGCAGATCGCCGAAACGAGCATTCCCACCTCCGCTCGCTGTGAGCAAGGACAGATCAAAATTGTAGAAAGGCGATGAAAGGCTGCTGTGATAGTTTGTGCAGTTGCGCTGAGAAGGCTTGTGTCGACGGGTAATGCTCGTCTCAATTGCTCCGCTGACACTTCTAGTTCGGAGAATATTTCTAGAACAACTAGCAGACAATCCGGATCGGAGACGTCGTGGCTCTTTGTGGTACTGGAGTCTGCCTGTGCCGCTTTATTATTAGACGGAGTGGAATTTGACATTGAGATATTGGATGTCACGTTGGCAGGTGTGGAGGAGCCATTGAAGCGGGAGTATAGTTTCGCGCTCTCGTCTACAAACTGGGTTGTTGTTATATCTCTCGCAGAGAGTCGGTTTGATTCTTCGCTATTCCTTCCCTCTGAGGTCTGTTCTTTTGACCGGTAGGGGCGGCCAGCCCGTCTTGCTGGGCTGTAAAAGCATGTGTATCCGAGCTTGTCGCAGCGGGAACAGAAGGGTTTCTCCCTTGTACAACGTACTTTCGAGGCAGAGCATTTGTCGCAAGAATCTTTGAGTTTTGGGGTTTGTAACGAAGAGGCGATATGCGGAGCGGTTTTGGACGATCTAGAAGTTTGAATGCGATTGCGATACATGGCGTCGGTCTCTGCTTGTCATGAAATGACAACTCGTAGACCGAGGTCCTGCTAAACTAGATAGTTCCCCTGTTAGCATTTTCTTTTGGGAATCCTCGACCAGCTTTCGTCTTCGCCTTCCCTTACCTATGTAGATCGCTTGATGTTGGTCCCGCTTACAGCCCACTTCCGCCCCTCCTTGCCAAGAGATACGAAATATGCAAGTGAAGCTGTGGAGTAATTGGTTGCATCAAGCTTTATCCGGGCAGTCTTCCAGGACACGACCTCGACTTCACAATTGTGGGACAATTGTGGGATGTTTTCAAAGGCTAGAGATAAGAAGAGAAACTGAAGTCGTGATATGTAACCTCGTATCCCCAGCTAAAAACTTTGGCCAACACGAGATTGAGCTAAAACAAACACTAGCCCAATCGGGTTAGATCCCACTTGACGGGCCGAGCTTCCAAAGTTGAGGCGCCATCGGGGAAGAAGTTCCACCCCTGAGTATCCAAGCCTTCTCGGGGACTCAATGTCTCTTGAAGACGACCACTGGCAGTCCATGCTGGCCCAATGTACAGCCCATGACGATCAACTTCATCCATATGTGGAGTCCGGTGATGGTCTGTTCACAGATGCATCGATAGACGACCTAGATCTCGATCTGAATGGCGATCTTGACCCTAGTCTATACCTTGATACCTTTGGAGCGGGTCATCCCAACCCTTTTGGCACTGTTTCAGACCTCTGCTCTGTTCCTATGCCTCTCCACTCCGATGGACTTCACAGTTATGATGAACAGACACGGGATTACTCCGCGCTTCCCGATCTTTCCACCCCACTATTCGCTGTGCCAGATTCAATCCTTACTCCAGTTCAAACACCACCCCAAGCTGCTGCAGCGTCTTGTCACTCACAACATCGCACCCCTTGCATAATAACTGCGACGCAATCCCTTCGCTCACTTCACGTCCCCCAAACGAGTTGCGTCTCCCACCGAAATGCCGACAACCATGATCGCAGTGGACTCGAGCCACCGCGCATGTCCGGCTCAGTTCTTAAAGCAAATAAAGATGCAGGCATGTCAGTCTGCCGCATGCTTCAGTGTGTCTGTGCTCTTCACACACAGAACCAGCTGATACTAGCAATTATCTGTTCCCGACTAATTGCGTGGTACCGCGCAATGATTCGGGCATGCTTTATGAACGAAACCAACAGGCCCTCCGAGCACAGTATTAATAGTGGGTCTAACGACGGAAGGCCCTCGCTGGAGAAGGTGGTTAATCAACTCGTCACGATCGGAGATCACTCGATCGATGACCAGGCACTGGGATTGGCTATTCAAGCGCAAGTCACGCTAGGCGAATTACAACATATGCAGCGACTGGTCGAGACTCTCTCGGCTCGCATGCGGGAAACCGCTAACTCATACCCGAAAGGAATGCAGGGCCTTGGAGCCGAAGCCAGGTTCCCATCAGCCGGGCTCCCAGACACCATGCATGAGCGGCTGGTGGCGCACCTGCTGAAGGAAGTCCATGCAGCCAAGGCTGATTTAATGACAGCTTCGGCGTCCCCATGATCTAGATCCTCGGTGAAATGATAAACAAGTACATATGTTGGAGTAGAGTCATATCCGACTTGAACGAACTGCATTCGTAAAACGGTACAGCAAGGGGAAGAAGACCTGAGTGTACGCACTCTCGCATTAAGAACTTGGTGTGACTGCCGATTTACCCTGGAAAGAACATTCTATCTAGATCCGATCTGTTCCCCTTATCCCTATTTCATCCGGTACCTAGGTACTCTGGCACCGTCACGTGTACGGCAGCCTATTTGGACCATTTTTGACAACGGGCTTTCTGCCATGCAGAAAATCAGCAATTGGCGCTAATGGAACAATACAATACTAGAAAATTACATAGTACAATAATATTATAGATCCATTTCTATCAACTTTATTCGGCTTGCTTAGTTTCACCTAAAGGTTACTTATCCTAAACACCGCGTAAAGGTGCAAGCTTTGTTCAGGTGTCGTATATAGGCCCCGTACGACTAGGGAGGCTATTATATTAGGGGAAAAAAAGAGGAAACCTACTTAGTCAAGTTCGATAACCTTAGGGCTATTATCATCGATCTTAATAGGATAGGACTTAGTTCTAATAGCCAACTAACCTTATAAAGGCGTTATCTTAACTAGCGTAGCGGCTACCTTTTATATTCTATTTCGGGTACTATTACTATCTCGTATAGAGTATCGAGATCTATAATCTTAGAACTTATAGTTCCTATATACTCTACCGAAATGCCCTAGTATACGGGAATATAACGGGAATAGGTATAGGCTCCCGGTACGACGGCGTTTATTAGAATACTCGTTATACTTAGTAATAAGTTCCTATCTACGAGATTAAATTAGTAAGGTATTTACGTACGATAGGCGTATACTTATAATCTATAAGCCTCTAATACGACCGGTTATAAAAAAGATATTACGGCTAATTAAGATAAGTAAGGCGCGGCCTTTATCGCTATATACGAAACGGGTAAAAAGGGGGCTTACGACTAGAAATAGAGACTATAAGATACTACCTCGGGAACTAATATACTATATAAGATTTTAATCTCTAGTACTTAATTATAAGGTTATAGGCTATCTATATTTAGCTCTAGTCTAGATATATCCTTTATAGTATTTAATTAGCTATTAGAGTATAGTATTCTATCTACTAGTAGGGTCGATACTATTATTAACTAAGCCCTAAAGCCTAGTAAACGTAATATTAGCTTTATATATATAAGCTCGTAACCGAGTAAAGCTACTAGACGGTTAGGGGTTAAAGCGGCGAGAGGAGGGAAGGCTAGACCTATTATCGTACGAGATCTTATATTAGTAGATATTTAGATTAGATAATAGATCTTACTAGAAATATAAAGGAGGATATAAAGGGATTATCTTTATCGTATAAAGAGGATATATTAGTAGAGGGGTCTAAAGCGATAGAGAGTATTATTATAGAGGGAGAAAGAGAAAGAGAAAAAGAGAGAGAGAGAGAGAGAGAGAGAGAGAGAGAGAGAGAGTTAGTTAGTAGATAGTATTACCTAATTAGGTAGTATTACTATTTTAGGTAATAATATTAGAAATAACTTTTATTAATAAATAGATAAATATCTTAATACTTCGTACGAAGATTAATAAAAGTATAAATACGCTATTAATAAATAGATAAAGATATTAATACTTCGTACGAAGATTAATAAAAGTATAAATACGCTATTAATAAATAGATAAATATCTATAAATAGATATATAAATATACTATTAATAAATAAATAAATATCTATAAATACTATTCGATCTAAATAAGTACTATACTCTACTAAGCGGAGTTAGGCCTATACTTATTATATTATATATTAAAATACTTCCTCTCTTTAATTGTCTATATTATTCCTATATCTATCTCTTACTATAGCTACCCCTCCTAATACTCTTATTCGTACGATCTATAATCCTATAATTAAGGCTCCTAACTTTATAGCCCTCTTTAGTATTATTCGTAGAGTAACTACCGCGGATAGTCCTAGACTAAATTATACTATAGTACGCCTTACCTATACTAGTAATCTCGCTCTCCGTAAGCTTTATTATATATTAGAATAATAACAAATATAGGCGTTCCTATTATACGAATTCTTTATAAAAAGAATATAAACTAGAACCTTTATAATACGTATAGATTAGGTATATACTATCTTTCTATAGAGTATTAAAAGAGATAGATACTAATATATATATCTAGCTCCGTACCGTACGACCTTCTTATATTAATAGGTTGCTTATTATATCGCGTAGGTAGCGGTTTCCGGGTATATATATAAACTCTCGTACTAACTATCCCTTTTTTAGTATCGTACGACTTCCGGGTTTCTAGGAGGGCTGTTATACGAATTATAAATAGAAGGAGTAGGCGAGAGCCTACTACTATAGGAGTCTAAATAAAGCGAGAAGGATTCTAGTTAGTATAGTAGCTCTTCCTAAGCCTAGCCGGCTAGAAGAGTTAGTAGATAAGGATAATAAGGATAAAGAGGATAATAAAGAGGATAAAAAAGAGTAATAGTCTTGTAAAGGATAAAGGTCCTTTCAAAGGTGAAACAGGAACTTGGGCGACATATGTATTCATAGAAGTTTTTGACACGTGTGTGAATCGTGCGGGGTTCGTCACCTGATCGGTGCCGAGCCTTGGCACGCACATTTCCTTTTAATCTTGGGCCCCCCGGGACCCCCTGAATTCTGGCAAGAATTAGTCTTGGCACACACAGCCCAATACACCTTTGTTCCTCCTCCCGAGCCAACGTATCTTACCCGGTTGACAGGCCTTACACCTGAAACAGTATATTCTTACAAGTCTCGTATAAGAGTATAATATTTTTAGGATTTTAGAATAAAATACAGATAAAATAAACAAAATATAGATAAAACAAATAAAATATAGATAAAATAAAGCAGATAAAACAAATAAAATATAAATAAAATAAAGTAGATAAAACAAAGCAGATAAAATAAATAAAATACAGATAAAACAAAATAGATAAAACAAACAAAATTTAGACAAAAGTCTAGTTTTCCTACTTTACCTATATAGTACGCCGTCTCGTACGATATATAGGAGTACTGTTATTAGATAACTTAGTAGAATTAGACCGTCTTCGCTTAAATACTATATCTAGTATTTCTATTTTATTATTACCGCCCTCTATTTTATCTTTACTATTATACGTTCTAAGCTTATTATCCTAGATTTTATCCTCGCTACCCCTTATCGTACGACTAATAGGCTCTTCTATCTATATATCTATTTAATTAGTTATCTTAGGGCGTAAGTTTAAAATAGCTTATAGAGGTTTAGCCTCTTTCTCCTTTTTAATAACTATATCTAGTACTATATAAGATACTAATTCCTACTCTAATTCTATCTTTATCGGCTCTTTTCGGATAATAATAATAATAATTTAATACTCCTAACCGACCTTATAGAATTACTCTAAAAGATCTTTAGTATTTTATTTATAATTTACGGATTCTATAATTAGTATTAGCTAATACTTTTTCTTAATTTTATAGGCTAGATAAAATTAATTATCGAAATTATATTTATAGATATTAAGGTTATTAGGAATAGTAGGAAGGAGGTCTTAGATAATAAAATTATAGAAATATTTTATCGTACGAGGACGGATATTATAGGCGAAATACCCTATTAATTAAGAGATTAGAATAGATATATTAAGATATAATAAAATATATTAAGATCTTTAAGCTATTTTACCCCCTTTTTCCCCTTCGTTCTATCTTTCTTATTTTTCTCTATAGGAATATATTAAATAAAGAATTAGATACTCGTACGAATTATAGAGGAGGGTAAAGACCTAGTAAGTAGCTAGTTCGTACGAGTAGGACGTAACCTCCTAACCCTTTATAATTAGTATTAGGATTAGATTAAGCTTCCTTCCTAACGAATCTTATTCTAACGTCGTTAGTTTATTAAGCTATTAAGAGCTTTAAAGCGGTCTATTATCGTACGACTCTCCGAGTAATATAATCTTAGGATAAATTAGCTTAATAGAGAGTCGGTAAGATTAATAATCTTAGTCTTATAATTAGAACGAGAAGGAGGAAAGGGTAGTATTTATACTAGATCGTACGAAATAAATTAAAGTAAAGATAATAATTTAAAAAAAGGAGGAATAGGAAGGGGAGAAGAAAAGAGGAAAAGGGGTAGACGCTAAGAAAAAAAAAAAAAAAACTAGTCTACTCGCTAAACCTTAGCTATTAATTAGCTATATAAAGTAGCCTTTTATATAATCGGAATATCGGAAGTACGTTAGACCTTTTATAATCTAATACTTATTAGCGAAGCTCTTTATATATTATATAATATAGCTAATTAAGCTTAGTAATATCTCGTAGTAGGGGGTTATTAGGATTAAATCCTATATCCGTAAGCTACTTATTATACTAGACTAGCGTATTACTTAGAAGAAATTTATCGGTATCCTAATTACTAATATCCTATTATATCGTACGAAGTAGGTCTTTATCGATTAGAATATAGTAGTTATAGACCTTATCTAGCGTATTATCGATTTAAACGTTTAGATAGTAGTAATTAATATATAATTTCCTAGGAATATTTTATAGTTAGCGAGGTTATTTCTAGATATTATAAATATTCTATATTTTAATATAGGATTATATATAATATTATACGATAGGTATATAAATTATATAAAGAGTAACTTAGTCTAGGATATAGATTTACGAAAATAGCCCTTCTTCTTTAAGACGGTAAAAGTATCGCTTTATATATATTAGTATTATATAATAAAAGGGTTAATAGTTAGTTAATAAACTTATATAGAATATAAAGATATATAATTTTAAAAGCTAACCCTACTAGGCTTTAATCCTTTAATTTATAGTACTTAGTCTATAGAAATAGTACTATTTATAAGAGATCTTAAGTTCGTACGACTTCCGGAGTACTTAATAGGTATTACCTATAAGAGTAGTTTTAGTACTAAGATTAGACCGTATCGTATAAGGTAGTCGGCCTTATATAGAGAGGATATTTAGATACTAATAGTAGATACTAATTATTATACGAGTACTAACCCTAATATAGATCTAAAGAATATACTAGGAGTAGCTATTAATAGCTATATAGACCTTAATATTAAAATTAACTAGCTTTATATAGCTATTAATATACTAAACGTAGTTTAGACTAGGATATAAATATACCCTATAAGTCCGCTATAGATCGTATATACAATATTCTAGCGAATTAGGGCGTTACCGGCTATATTTAGCGAAAACCTTATCCCTAATTTAATATAAGTAACTTTACTAAATAGTATAGTTATATCGTATAAGAGGTAGTTACCTTAAGAATAGGTAGCTATAGCGACGAAGATAGTTATATAGAAGGTTTCTTCTAAACCCCTTAATATCTCTAATATTAATTTCACTCTTAATAATACGTTAGATCTCTACTATACGGTCGGCTTAACCCTCTATAGATACTACCTAACGATATATACTAAGCTAGTTACGAAGCCGGCGTATCGTACGATCTAATATCTTATATCCTTTATTTTAAAGGATAGGTCGGATCTACTAGTCGGAAAGTAAAAGCTAGAAGATTAGAGTACGAAGCCGATTATAGAGAGCCGTATCCTTTATTAATATCGATAAAGTAATTCCCTACGTCTTAAGGCGTCTATAGATCGTACGAGGGCTAATACTAAGGTTATAAATACTCTAAAGAGAGTTATATATAGCTTTTAAAGAGGCACCTATTTAATAGAGAGAGATAATCTCATCTCTATATGGCCTAAGATCGACGGGGGGTAGTATAGTTATATAAAAAATAAAAAGAAATGTAGGTTCAGAATAGGCGGAATGTATTATCTTGTACGGTACAAAAGGCGGAAACTCTAGCGGTGAATCTTATATATGTATTAATAAGCGTTGTCAAAAATGGTCCAAATAGGCTGCCGTACACGTGTTTACCCCCACGTGTTGCCCTAGACAACCCGTTCACAGGTCAACACGAGACTGATAGTAATCGACTGTTCCAGACACGCGATCCTCGATCTCTATTGATTTGATGCGCCACTACACGGTTGCCCGAGCTTGTTGATAACATCAAATCTCACCCCGCGTCTTCCCCGCGTTTAGAGTTGATCCCTTGATTGACTTCACCGCTTCTCTGCACAACAATCTCGACATTCCCTCACTTTCAAAATAGTTAACCCAACCATCATCTCAGTATGAAACCTCGCTTCTTATTCGGAAGTCTCGACATCACGTCAGGTTTTCCTCACGAAGCTCGGACTCCCCGCTCGTCGAGGCACGAGTCTTCTATGCGATGTATTTCACAAATATACATTCCATCTGATGACTCTATTACTCCCACAGTCTTCAAAGGTCTTTACAGTTCATCTAAGCGAGAAATCAAAGACACAATTCCACATATTCTAGAGGATGCTGAGATATACGGCTCGAAGTCACAACATGCTAGACGCCGGCCGCAAACCCCGTTGGCAAGATCTACTCGGAGAGCTCCGCTCCAGCAAAGCTTGAAGGTTCTCCAGCCAGGAGCGACAACGGTTGATATCCCTGGAACAGGGAGCGGCAAAGAAAACATTCCTCCTGGGTTTTCTGTTATCACCGACAACAAAAGCAAATCAAAAATCCATTCACCAATGTCCAAAATGGCCTGTCCAGCTGCGCAAAATGCTACTCCCAGAACACACATAAGAACCAAGCCCAAACAAACGCAAAAAGAGCCACCGAAGCCAGTGGCTCTGGGTGAAACCCGAGGCAATGCCGTCAGAGTCAGAGTCCCTAAAAAGATAGAACATCCACCACCTGCTGAGACAGCTTGGGTCCCTCCTTGGAAGCGTACCTACTCGGCCGTCGTCATTCAACGTACATGGCGGTCATTTACAGAGCGACGGAATAAGCACGCGTGTGCTATAGTCACGTCCAGGGCAGAGTTCGCATGTGAGGTGATTGCTCGATGGTGGCGCTGTGTCAAAGCCCGCAAGCTGCGAGAGCAGACAAATCAGGTCAAGCTGATGGAGAGAACTGAACAAAGGCCTCGACGCAGATCTGCTGGTCAGAGATCGCCTGCTCGACAGAATCAACCCAATTCTGGCCGCCGAGGCATTCGGCGCCTCTAATCTCGTTTTTCTTTCTCACCTTTTCACTTTCATTTCCTTTTCTCGTCTCTGTTTCCTATTTCCTTTTCTAATTTATGAAATGATACCCCTACCGCATTTTGACAGGCAGGGCGTTTATCCCCGGTTTTTTTTTTCATCGGATTGTTCCTCACGATGAGATAAACACGTTCCACGGAGCCACCATCAAAAAGTATTGATCGTTAGCTCTGTTTCCCCTGAGCCTTGTTTCACAGAGACTGCTCTTGTTTTCTTCACTTCAGACATGTATGGAAGTTCGTTCGAGTGAATAATAAACCATTCCGCACATGCCGTACTCATCCAGTATGTATTTCCACTACATGTTATAGTGTGGTAATATCTAAGACTTGTACAGGTTCTGGTTCTCTCTTTCTTGGGTGGTGAACAGGGGAGAGTCATTCAGGCTTCGTATGGTGGGAAGGGGATGATCTTGCAATACTCACAACTATGGAGCTTTGCAGATGCGGAGAAAGCACCAGTTGAGTTGTTCTTTCGCTATCGTTTGAGTGAGCCAGTTGGTGGTACTTACAAATTGTCTATCAGATAAAAGCATCTTTCGCTGCTGTGTTGAATCTCAATCAGTGACTTTACTACCCATATCAGAATCACTCCGAAATGAAAGTTATTCCTATCAAGATGTTCACCACATGGAGAGCACGCCTATCCATGTTCATACTATTGACACTCTTTGGTGAGGCACCTTACAATGGCAGAGTTCAAGAAATGCTTCCCAGGTTCGAAGTTAGGTTGAACACAGCAAAGTCCTTCTACACATTTTAAGCCACTTCTACCAGTTATACCACAGATATAATACCAAGGGGACTCTCAAAAGACTCTCAAAAGACTCTCAGAAGACTCTCAGAAGACTCTCAAAAGCCACCGAGGCTGCAAGTTATACATATAAGATCATGTCGGACTTTCAGGGCAGGAGCGCTGCACCGCTGCACCGCAGTGGGAAAACCAAGGCCCCACTCTCTTCACACTACCTGATCTTCACTCGGCTTCAAAATTAGGCCTTATGGCCAAAAATACGCGATACGGAAATTTTCTTAAAGGGTCGCTTCGATACTGAGATAACCGGGAAGGCCCATAAAGTTATCACAAATTTCCCCGAGCTCAAAGCCTATACCAGGCAAGTCGGAGAACCCGATACAGGTGTCTTCCACCGGAACATGGGCGCCTTTCTCCTTGTGAGAGACTCTCAGAACCTAGACAGACGAGTCTCGTCGCGCTTGCTGCTGGGACTGCTTGCGCTATCAATGCCCGTCGGTCGCCGCCCCCATCAGTCTCTGTCCCGGCCGATTCTAAGGTGACTGATTCGAACACGGCCGATTCTAGGGTGCTGACTGAGTCGAACATCTACCAAACGGAGTCCGTTGAAGCCCGCCGAAGGGTAACAATGACTCGAACGACAAGCAGGGGTCCCAAAAAAGGATAAGCCCGCCAAGACGCCGGCGGCCCCGGCCCCTAAGTGGGAGACCCAAGTGACGGAACCCCCAGCCACGAAGGAGGCGCCTGGCCCCAAAAAGTCGCCAACCATGACCCGCTTCTCGGCCAACGAGAAGGAACAAATGAAGTCCGGGAACCGGACGGTGTATGTGGCACTACCCAAGAACATGAAAACCAGGCGTGCGGCAAAGAACGATGCGCTGAATAAACATATCGTGCGCACGTGTAAGAAGCTTGGTTAGAAGCAGTATTACAATCTGGGGATTCGTACTTCGCGGTGGTTTTAGACACCCGAAAGTAGGGATCGGGCCCTAGAGGCACTGCGAGCCAAGAAGTTCCGCATGGACTCAGAGGCAGTGTCCATACTGGTAATGCCGTTTGGGGTCCCGGACGAGGCCGCCAACACTGTGTGGACGACCCGTGGTGGATACGGAGATACAGCCGACAAGATTGCGGGCGCCATCCGAGCTCAGTTTAGCGCTGAGAAGGACGCTGAAGCGTTCTTTGGGAAAGTGACGGTCAAGCGGGTGAGAACGACGTTCCTAATGGCCAATTCATGGCATGCTTTGATAAGCCGGCTCCATGGCTGCTCACACCGTCGCTCTCCAAAACACGCAAAAAGCGCAAAATCTCCCAGCTCGACTTTTTGGGTATGGCCTCGGAACCCCGAAATGTCTGACACTCCTTCGTCAAATGCAGTACTCAGTGACGTGTCAGCCGCTTTCAATTCCGGAATAACACCCGGACCAACCAAAGACGAACAACTCGTCAACGACTGCTGTTCCTAAGGACTCTCTTGATTTATCAATCCGAGTTAAAATGTCATTGGACAGCGTATCGCTCGTCATTTTCCAAAGCAATCTTTGCCGATAACTCGATGATTGCGCGTACAGACGGCTATTTGGAAGCAAATGGCGAAGTCTTCGCTATCGTCGAGGTTTAACCAAACACTCGGGACCCAGTCAACCACCTGGAAGTGTTATGGCAAGAGGCAGGCGAGGTGATTGCATGGATCTTGCAGCGTCGGTAAGTTAAACACTACCTAGTTATTAGGAGCCATACTGACTAACCTTAACTTGTCTCACAGGATAATCACGATATTTCTAAAGTAGGGTGATTTTCATTGTGTACTTATACTTTCATGGATCAAATCAAACCTATTTCGATGAAAGATCTCTTCTCTTGATAACATTCTCTTCTTCTAAAATACAAGGCTAATAATAGTAGTCAAAACCAATTTATATTGTGGCCCTGGAGGTATACAGCCACCCAATGATGTCATAGGGCGCACGCTCCAATATAACAATGCCACCCTGTTTCTTTCGATTCACATATCTACCACAATATACAATCCTCTACATCTCATTCACTTACATTCATTCCAAAGCTCGAGAAAATTCCTTCAAATTCATTCAATTCTACCAAATTCAATCAAACCGCTATGCCGACCGAATCAAATCAAGACAAAGGCGTCACCGGAGCCGCCAAATTCCTCACCTCCACACTTGGAAACACAGTCGGCGGTGTCACCCGCACAGTGGGTGGAGTGGCAGGAACTGCTGGGCGAGGTATCGGCGATACCATCACGAGCGCAACGGGGAGTGCGGGCGAGCCGATTGGCAATGCGCTCGGCAGTGCAAGCTCGGGTCTTCAGAACGGTGCGGAATGGGTCGCGCAGGGAACGGAGAATGCTGGGAAATGGAAATAAGATCTTCTGTCTCTTCTTTTTCGCCTCAGAGTCATCATGATGAGTTGGATCATAACACTATGGCTCTTGTCGAGGCCGAAGATCTAGCACCATCGCAGGTCCGAGTTCCTTCAGCTCTTTCTGGACTTCTGGCAGACTTCGTGGCTTTTTCTTCATGCATCTTGCACTGTCCGTTTAAAGTGTGTAATTAGCGCAGAATAATTGCTGGCCTTGGTCCGCTGTATCTGGTTCCGTAACCCATGACCTTTTTCAGAACGTATGTAGACGATCGACTTCAATCTGAAGCCTTTGCATGAGTTTCAACAATAAGTGATTGGATCTTCACTTCTCGGGCGTTCACTGTCAGCATCAATGCGGTTTTTGGGGCCTGCTTGTTGTTCCGATATCGATCAAAGGTATCCTTGGTGTACCCACGAAGCACGGTTAAGTAAAACCATGAAGTAATCTATAGAATGAAGTTAGTCTCTTCAAGCCCCGGCCTCAAAGTAGTCAAGGATGATTGACATGTTATAGGGAAAGGTGAGGTGGTAAAGATCCCAAGATTGAGTCGAGTCGATTATTGAGGAGAAATGAATGAAAACAGGATGGAAGAGAGGGTGAAAGTAGAGGTCGAATATACCTTAGGCAGTAAGGCTGCCTCAACGCGTTCAAAATAGCTAGATAGATGCTCGGGTGCGATTTCGAGGTGTTTGTTGTGACTATCGGGGTTGCTTCGTGTATGTATGCCGTTCGCTTCCGAGTACTATTATTCACAGCCCAATATAACATGGCTTCGTGCAGCTCGTCTTTTGCCCGTGTTCCCAAAACTTTGATCGTAGACGCACTCTTTCATATATGCTGTACACATATATACATGGACATATAATAGCTCTTAGGTTAAGCCAATGCTATATCAAGAACTATATTGAACTATGGCCATCCGCTGCTTGCATTTTCTTGAAAATGCTCTCCCACACTTCCGCGCAGGGTACCAAGCTATCATGGTCAGTGCCGGACACTACCCTCGAATCAAACTCAACCACACCCCTCGAGTCCCCATCATTCACTTGATGCCAACATCTCTCAACATAAGCTTGACCCTTCTTGCCAATCATACTATCAGACTCAGCGAACAATGCCTGAACTTTCAACGGCACTCCAGCTCGTCCTCTTTCACGCTCGACCAACTCGCGCACAAAGACCTCGTAATCTTCACATTTGCCCCAAGTGTTAGGCTCCTTCCGTAGACAATGGAGCGCCTCGCTATTAGAGCCAACTGTGTCCTCTTTGAACATACACTGCATCATGGAAGAGTCTATCTCCTTCTGCTGGTCTAGGTCTAATCCATAGTTCTGCGCGATGTAGAGACGATTCTTTGCCTGGTCATCACCGCTCTTTGAGGGAAAGGAAGCAGTGAGTTTGTCAATCATCGTTCCACTCGTCGCTGTTGCAGACCCATCATTGGCGAGAAAGAGACGTGGGATATGATGCCAGAGCTTGAAGGCTGGAGTGGGGATATATTGGGCCATTTTCATGGAGGTAGTTCCTGATTTGGCGGGATCGACCCATGGCGCTATTGTGTGGTTAGATCCCGAGCTTTTATGTTGGGATATGTCCATCCAACATGAGCAAAGTGCCCAAGAGGAATAAAACTGATCTGCGGGAAATTCAACATACCTATCAGAGTAACCATCGGTTTCTCAGGATACAGAATATCCCGACAGTGATATAAGGTGTTAAATAGATACATAGTACCAGAACTATGCGACGCCAACGAAACATGCTGGATGCCTACATGGGCTAAAAGCCGTGGGATAGTCTCGATCCAAGTGGAGACTCGCTGCGCTAACGGCACATCAGTGGAATTTCCCATTCCGGGACTACATGCGATGCGACCTTAGTTCATGTTGCATATAAGAGGTCTGGGGTACGCCTACCGATCAACAACTAAAACGCGCACGCCCCATTTCTCGGCAATCGTGTGTAGACATATTCCGATGTACCGGGATGAAAACATGCCCGGCAAAAGGAGGAGTGTCGGGGTAGTTCCATTCTCATTAGGTTCGCGGCCGTACTCGCCGTAAGTCACATTGAGAGGGCCATGGGTAGAAGTTGGCTCGATGGTGAAGGAGCGATGGAAGCGGGGGTTGGAGACATAAGAGGCGGCAAACGATTGGGGGGATGATGGGTTATACTCCATTGCTTAGATAGTCGAAATAGAGATATGCATGGATGGTTAGAGATGGAAAGGGGGAAGGATTTTCATCTCGTATTGAGGTGAGAATAGGCATCTCTCAAAAGATAAGCCATGATGTGGCGGCCTAAGGCTGAGAATTCTTTTTTTTCAGCCCCCATTTCTCCGTTCAATGTGTCTAAGTGATGGGTTTCTATTGGCCTCCTTTGTCGATATATCAATATATCACGTCGATAGGATATCGATGGAATATGAAAAGGAGACTGGGGAACATTGAAGCGGAGAAGGTCCACTTTCACACCCTCAGCCTCATGGAATGTGCACGAGTCATGAAAAATATTTGCTTCATTCCATCTGACTCATCTCTTTGGGTCTATTAATTCTAACTTCCGGGAGAATGTCCTAATATGACCAGTTTCGTGTGCCCTGTATACTGCCAGTGTAAATAAAGGGCGAGGGTTGTTCTGTATGTCAATATATATTTAACCATTACAAGATTGCAATATCCCAAATGACCTAGTAGTTAGGTAACTTTCAAGCATGCTGTTAATCTTAATAGGACTTTGACCCTAGATCAGAAGGACCAGGTCAAGCCTCACTATATGCTGGCGTTACTTTACTTCGTCCCCATTTTGCACGGGCTAGTTCTGGTCAATATGGTAGTCTAGGTTTTATTGTTACTTGTAAAGATCTCGTCGTTCAAAAAGAGGCATAGTATGCGAGTATAACGATCAGTAATTCCTAGAAACAGTGCATTATCCAGTAAATGTATTATATTCATTACGTGCAATTTGTGAGTCAGGTCAATTAGTCATTTAGGCATTGAAGGAGTTCGTTAGGGAGTACGATGGAGGATAATGCTGAATATTGCTGTATTTACTATGACACAAATTGATATTGCAAACAGACGTTCTACTTAGACACGGGATCTAATTGTCAGGAGGTCGAGAGGGATATGTGACTCATTTTATGAGAATCAAGTCCAAGGATAGCACTAAGAGTAGGTCGGCGACACATGCATAGCAACCAGCACAGTGTTACCAGAGCGTATGCGTTATATTTCGACTATAACTCTAGTTGCCGATTTAGGAAATGGGATATACAGTTGTGCTTCCCTACACGCTGAAACATCGAATCAGAAGAAAGCAGTTTGAATATCTTAATCCTATATCGAACATCAAAGCGTCACAATCATGCCCTGTGATTTCAACGAGATATCTCATTTCAATATCGCATCATACAGCTGCGGCCGCAACATAGATCTCCCACGAAGACCCCCAACAATGGATGAAACCCCACATTATCTCACCAATGAACACTTACAATCCTCAACGCACGGTCATATCATCAGTATGTTGCATACCAGAAGCACACCAGAAGCCCTACGTCCTACATCGTACAGGGCAAGCACTAACTAGCGTACAGTGTAGATCAACACCAATCTAACGTAGAGACATATCGAAAGACACCATACAATAGTGCAGGTAACGATCAAAGCACAAGCAACCATAGCAACCATGCACGCGTTCGATCACCGTGCCACACACACCCATCTCCATCTCCAACCGTGATGTCACCGGTGCGGAGTGTCAAATGAGCACCTGAAATGTATACAACATAGTTATGGAACGTTAGAAGTTAAGTTACAAGCTCAAACACACACCCATCTCCGAACCCATGGATCGCCGATACGATATCAAATCCCATCCCCAAACCGACTAATCCCGCGCTCGCATTTGTCCACACCCGCTAGAATCGCCTTTAAAAAGGTCCCTGCGTAGAACGGGTGGCATATTGGCCAGGGATTGGCTGGCGATCGAGCGAATGATAGGTCGATGTATTGGAGGTTCTTACGCGATTACGTAGGTCGGGTTTTGTTCGAGATAACTCCCGCTGATAGCCCTCATCCCCTCCCTCTTTCGGTGATCATCGATGGTTATTTCCGTGGTTGGATGTTTTGTGGTTTGGGTTATTGCGATGGACATGAAACTGCTGGAACTGGGTGCTTTTTCTTTTGTCGCTTCGTTACCCTGTGTACAGCGGTAGTTATACAAATATTGGTTACCTAGGTAATAATCAATATTGTAGGTTTGGCTCTGACTCTAGTTCTGAATTCAATATTGCTCTTCGCATGGGCGATGCCCGAAACGTGTTTCAGTACTGTGTCATCTCAGCGATTAAAAATGGTATCATACCGCCAACTCCGCATATTGTATATAGTTATTGTATGGTGATATAGAAAATGTCAATAATCATCGCCGTGTCATGTGCGAAGTTTCTCAAATTGCATCATGGTCATTTGGGCCGTAGATGCGACCGCCCATGATATCTGTAATAAGACTGGGACTGTCAGATGGTTATTAGACAGTATCCCGATCTTCCCGACTGCTAACACCCAGATGCGACCAGGTTCTTCTCTCCGTTCGGTGTCCGTGGATTCACTCAAGGATTAATTCTCCGGTGTTCGATGCCGTGCTCTGAAACGTGCACGGGATTCCCATGTACCCAAGTTCAACTGGACGATCATTAGCAAGTCGGTTTCGCACCCGATGATCAAACGTGAGGCCCAACCATGTTCTGCGGAGAGGAGGTCCATGGGCAGGTGGGGTTGATTATCAAGCGTTTCTAGAAGATTTGCACCTGCCATGTTGAACGGTGGCGATACGTAGTTACGTCGAAATTGGAATGTTAAGAATGTCGGGGGTAAGTATTCCGGTGCCTAGGACTGTTCAAAAGTTCGGGCGCATCTTACGTGGATTTGCAGGGATGAAGACTTATACCGATGGTAAGAGCCGCGATATTGCGCAAAGTGAACGTGTGCCAAGGCGTATCTCCATGCTCTATGAGAGGTTGCTATATTTGTTCGCGCACGCCTCTGGATAGTTATTCTGTATGCCTGCAATAGAAGAGATAAAGGGACGCCACAGTGTCGATCGTATCGTATTCCCGATGATGAATTGTATGCATCGTACATTCGTACACATAACTATCTAACTATTGCAAGGGAAAATCCGTGCCTACATACTCCCGTACTAGGCACCTAAGTAACTAGGTAAATAGACAGTGCATAAACAGGCTTGGAACATCTAGGCAGCTTACAGATCTCAATCGGACCGGACCGAGTCAAACCAAGCCTGTAGTCCGTCGATCCCGAGCCAGAAATAACACAGCACTGCCACTGCAACCCCCTAACTCAACACATTATTGTCACTCCGTGCGACGCCTTGGCATAAACAATAGCACGTAAATAGTCAAGACCGCTGCCAAGACTGTATTCATGCACTCTCGTCGTGTCGGCATGATCACCATGATCGCCCTTGGCGGGACCATTCCCCCATACATTGGCATTCGATCACCGCACTATTCCCTACCAAGACCAGGCGTCAACGAGTTCGTTTTTGAGAATTCGATCTAATGTAGCACAGTGCTTGGCATCGAGAGGGAATCCTATCATGGAGCGGATGGTTATCGCAGGGTTTAGTGCCAAGAACTCTTCAAGAAAGGGGGTGTATCGAAATAGAAATCGATTGAACCTCTCAACCCCCTTTGTGGAGAAACTCGGCATTTCTTTTCCTTCTCCTTGCTCTTTTTACCCCGTATTGTCACCCCCCGGAAATACTCATTGTTCTTCAGGACGACGGCTCAGGTCGTACCGGGCGCATTCTGAAGATTCAATGCCTAGATCTTGGCAGTTTGCTTCACCACGCGCTGTCGCCAAGCATTCCTCCGGTGTGGCCTTGAGCAACTTGTTATCTCCTTGCACTAGTTAACTATGCACTGCCGGGTAGATCATTTATCTGCTTGTTCTACCTGTCTTTCCAGACAAGGTTTTGTGAACCCCCCCCAGGTTTGTCTTGGCGGTGTGGTCATGAGGTTGGTGTTTAGGCTGTGACGTTCCTCTGGGAAAGTCTGCTCAATGGAACGGTGTTCTCAGTGTGAGGCACGGGGTGGACTTGGCATTGGCCATCCGAGTCCAACTCAGCAGTCGATTCTTTGATGTGAAGGTCTGGGGTATCGGGGTGTGTATCGGGACTCGGGATGGTCCATACTATGTTGTAAAGATCACCTGCACAGACCAGGAATTGGTATGATTCATGAGTCCCATGTATAGTTAGTTATTGTCTTTGTGTGAAATATGTACGGAGTACGGAGTACTCTGTAGGGTGTTGTCTTTATTATCAATATAGTATTCGTCTGCCAAGATCATAGTGACATTTGTATATTGATTAGAACAAAGAGAGTATAGCGTATTTCCCAATTGGGATAGAGATTGAAATCAATCTTATCAGCCGTTCAGTTGGAAGTCAAGAACATGGGATATATCATTTGAGACAAGAAACCCAAACATCTAAAGTCAATTCATAGAAACCCCAAACCGCAAACGCATGACTTTTAGTACGTAACTGCATCAGGCACAGTGCAGTAGCCCCAAAGTGGAAGGATTGAAAATGCCTCATACATAGTGTTTGTCTCAACAGGCAAATCCTCGGGTTATTTCATTTACCCGTCCCGCTTATCGCGCATGCATGTACATCTGACCAATCGCTTTACTTCTACTCGCTCCACTTTCCCCGGTTGTGTTCCCGGTCAACCATTTTGGTATTATACACTTTATATACATTACTTAGATATACATATTACAACATACAAATTATACACTTTCGCTTCAGTTTGGGGTAGTTACAAGAGAAGAATACCTTCTAAGAGTGTTCGAAGAGTAAAATAAACATCCCGCTCGTGCCATCCCCTGGTCAGAGTCCGTATCCCCACCTGCACAGTTCACACCTTATTACGCTAGACACCTCATACTAGTATACCCGTGGACACTTCATTTACTTACACTTAGGGCCTTAGGACTGGGGGACTTGGGGTAAGTGCTATAGAGCGGGTCTAGTCAATCGTCAATTGAGTGCCACGATAGTTGAGCGGAGAAATCCCCTGCCGCAACCCCATCGTGCCACGAACACAGCGCTACTATAGTAACCTCTTCAGTTCAAACCATACGACATATTCCCGTATAGAACCTCCCAGTCACACAAACTTGTCAACTCCTTCCTGCTCCACTTGGGAGAACTTCTCCGGGAGGGGGGGGTCTTTTTAGCCCATTCCACAGTATCCCAACCATATGGTGAGAATTGCCGCTCAGGATTGGATCCCTTTTTAATTTAGAGCCCCCGTTTCTTTTTCGCGGAAAAGGGAGTCCAAGCCCAATTTCAAGTCCAAGGAGTGAGGGGTGGCCAAGAAATCACCCCCGTTTCTATTCCCATCTACAATATCGCTGTCAGCGCGGGAACTTTTGTCCTGCATGTAGAGGAGAGGACGGAGGACTTTGTGCGGAGTAGCGACTTTGTGTGTGTACCTTCGTATCCTTGTCATTTCTGGATACGATGTATATTTTCAAAACACTGTTTTGCGCCCCGTACTTCTTCAGTTTCCTAACACGGTGAAGGCAGCCGGTAATAATAAAAAGCGAATCGCTTTATATGCAAGTCTGCCGCTCGTCCGTAGACAATTATCATTATCTAATGTACCTGAAGTTTACCCCGTAAACTAAATAATAAAAGAACAAAGAAAAAGAAAAAGAAAAAGAAAGGTAAGGAAAAACAAATCAATGCCCGATAGGAGGGAAAATTGTTGCAAGATGAATTCAATGGCTTCAAGCCAGGGTAATCCCCGCTGCAAAGCCGTTGCGTTGCTAACAAGCTTCTTCCATAATTCAATTCCAGACCCAACTAATCAATCCCCCACGGTCACCTGGTTCAGAACATGCAATCCAGTGAGCTTCGATTGTGCTTACAGGGGTTATGCCTGCTCGATCAAATGGACTGTGGGGTGATCTTCTCGGATTCGAGAAGCTTGTCGCGATCTAAACGGGGGGTTCATGACCCTACCGATTTCAAGAAGGGGCTGTGGCTGCAGTCTGCATATCTCCGGGAACCAGTTTGAATGTTAGCTTCGGTGATCTTTCGAGTTACTGGTGGAGCTGGGTTTTCAAGTTTTTTTTTCTTTTTCTTTCTTTTTCTTCTGGGAGTTTTTTATTGTCCGAGGTACGCGATATACTTTGGAATCTGGTCTGCGATTTCGGTTTACGCAGGGAAGATCTCGGTCAGCCGGTCTAGGGCTGATCGTGATCGCGGCTGACCGCTGTTCTTTGTCAACGTGGGAGTCTTCGTAAGCTTAATGCAGGTTACTCGTGCTTGTCTGTTGGGCAGGGAGAGGGATTTTCCTTTCAGATCTCGGTGACTAATGTGCAGATGAATGATAAACCAAGCTGCCTGCTGAAACTCAACTCATTTGTACTCCGCGAGGAGTCCTGTAGATCGATTGTATGCCCAACTTGGCGATCGTAATCACTTCGCCTCCAAATGACGAAACAATCGAGACCTAAATTTGGAGGATGAATAGAGGCCGTGCTGGGGAAGGGTTAAGCTGGATATCCCTAGAAAATAGAAAATATGACTGCCTTTGGACTTGGCACTGGAATCAGAGGCCAATGGAGATAATCGATTCTATCTACAACAAATTACTCGAGGCACAGCCTGTACTCCAGGGCTATGTGCTGTGTTTATGTATACCAAGACTGATCTACCGGGAAGGAGCATGGCCAAGAGTCCGTTTTGAGGTGCAGTTCGGATGGCAGTGGATACTACTCTGTGCTTCTGTACACAACCTGTACGGCGTATAGTATATTGTACAATATGCAACATGCCATTTACCCAAGACCTTTACCCGAGAAGCTCCGACGGGCTTGAGTCATGGGGATTTGTGAGATTGTGTAAGGCTCAGACGGGAGAACGAGTAAATGACTAATATAGTCCATGTCACTCTACGTCAGATGAGAGAAGTCTTCCCGCATTTGGAGCAAGGGAAGAGAAATATCAAATACCAAGCATTCAGGTATGACTCGAGATCTCGGCGAAAACCGCCAAGAGCCCTGTTGTAGACAATCAAAGTAGAAACCATGAAGCGCGTACGGCGCGTTTATAGTTTCAGTTATCATTATCTCATTACGAGATTTGGTCGAGTAAGAGAATTCATTCTGTTAACCCTGTTAGCTCTAGGGTAAGTTCAGCCAAGGCTGACTGACGGCTCGGCCGTGTTCAGGCACAATCGGTGGTTGGTACCTATGTATTTTAATTTATTTTTCATACCGAGTTATATTATGGGAATGAGCCTCTGTAACTTGGATATGACCATACCGATACAATCTCCAACTGACAAATTGGGGGAGGTTTATGTAACTACTCTGTACAAATATAGAACTTACAATGTACGGTGAAGATGTTAAACCAGAAATTTCTTCAGTATGGAGTTGCTATACTCCGTACCAGAATTTCATTGTGTTGGCAAGTGGATTCGCACAGTCACGGCAAGTATTAAGAGAATTAAGAGAATTAAGAGAGGTCAGGTTCAACGGGGAGTTTTATCAAAAAAAGAACCTGAAACAGGTTTAGTCCCAGCAACAAAATCCCTCATAGCCAGTCAACCACCAACTCAACAGACAGACAATGGTCATCAATGGTCCACTCGAATCAATTGCCCTCGATACTCCAAATGAAACCCTTTATACAACATTTAGTTTCTTTCTTTTTTGTACAAAGAATCTAATATAGATTATTAGTATGAATTATAGAACATTAATATAGTAGGAAAGAAAGAAAATAAATATCTATAGGAATATACTATAATATATACTACCAATATTATATGGTGTATGGTGTATAGTGTAATGTACGAAGTAATAGCGCAGGAACCAAGGCATCTTTAGTCAGAGATGTTACAGTCCACCCGTGGACTTTCCAGGGCTCAGGGCTGTACAACATGGCCCTCTCTCTGTACGGAGTACAATGCAATAATTTCTGAAAATGGGGGTTCACTGGGGGTTAAAAGTGAAAAAAACAGAAAAAAAAAAAAAAAAAAAAAAGGAAATCCAAAAAGGTTAGGGAAATTGGTAAAATTACCAAAAGAATGGAAATTGAAAAATTGAAAAAATTGAAAAAAACGTGGGAAAAGAAATTTAAAACAACCCACACTAGTCCCAAAACGACAGTGCCGAGCTGCCGTATCGTCACTCCCACTCTCTCTTTTCCCCTCCAAGACATCGGAAGACCCCCTGCACCTTTTCTATGCGATCTTCCTATTCTGTTTCTGTTATTATTGCCAACCTTTCCCCAAACTTCTCCTTCTTTTTCTTCTTTTTATTACCCTTTATAATCTCCACTCCATTTCTCCTTTTGACAATCTCGACATTCCTGACATTCCTTTCTTTATATTTTTCTTTTATCGAGATCCCTCCGAAAGCACGGACCTTCAAGCCTGGGAGGTATTCGAGAAACAGATCTAGTCCAGCTCAACATTGAGTTGCCATTCTTAGGCACAATTATCGATCTTGGCGAATACCCTCCTTCGTCTCGATACCCCCTAGTCATGCGGTTTATATCATGACATTAGTCCTCGCTCGGGACATCTGGTTCTGCCCTCAAGGTCGATCGATTTAACGTTTTGATCGATATCAAGGACAGCCTTTGTTGAATGAAAGACCTTGTTGTATCTTTCAAGCAACGTCCTAACCTCGCCTTCAACTCGATCCTACGCCACTCGCCTCACCCTCATCCTCCTCTTTATATCTTTGGAACTATACCTCGAACCCTTTTCCCTCCCTTTTGAGATATGGCACAGCCTCGGAACGGAGAAAGAACGTTTTCTTTTCACAACCTATTGAGGATGCTCATCTCGCCTAACTCGTCCAGCAAGCCGGCCCACGACGAGGCCGACTTGGCCGAGGATGTCGATGAACCCCCTGAACACGTCATGCACGCCACCTCGAACTCCGATCAGATCGTGCTTGCCCGGCCAACAGTGAACCGCAAGGAATCACTGCTCACGCGCGCGTTGAAGAGCAGCCCGGAGATGTCCCCAACCGATCCACACGCCTCCCACTACGACTCCTATATGTACCGATCCTACCCTCATAGCAACATCAGTGGCGTCTCGACGGCCGAATTGACCAGCGACGGCGGCCTCACCAGTCCATCCTTGTCGAATACTCCCAGCCCACCTTTACCTCCTCAGATGATGAAGAATGCTGCGTTGATGGGAAAGAAAAATTCGGCCCCTAAAGTGAAGGTAGTCGATCCCAGTGAAACTTCCGTCGAGGCCAACCTGGGCCGCAAACGATGCATTAGCTTCGCTTGTGGTCGTAAGAATGTTGATACCGAGCTGAGATCCCCCGTCTCACCCTCTGCCTCACAAGAACTCCCACCCAAAACACATTCACCAAAGCAGCTTCCCGCCGAGGAAGTTTCGATTCAAACCATTAAGCGCAAAACCACACTTACTTTCGCGTGTCCTGGACGGGAAACTGTTAGCCAGAGAGAGCGATCTCCCGCGGCCAAGTCCTCCATCCGGCCGCGATGCCGTGGTTCCCCTGCTCCTACTGCTCGCAGAGCCTCTCCCGCTTTGAAAGAGACCACTAAGGAGGTTTCCAGGGAGGAGGCTGTCTCTGTGTCTACAAACCGCAAGGGTGTCCCCACCAGTGGCCTCGGCAAGTTCGAGGAATCTGAAGCAACCCGGTTCCACGAGTTTGCTAGCTCTATGGACGAAGACGATGAATGGGTGAACAGGGAGGCCGACTACACGGAAAAGATCACGTTGAACGACTGTATGAAGAAGGAAATGGCCATCCGACGGCTCGGCGAACAGGCGGAAGAAGAAGCATTGGAGGAGGAAGAGGATATGGAAGACCTTCCTGACGACGACGAGACTGTGCACGACTTCTCTTCAGACGACGGCAATGAATCGGACAACGAGGAAGGCTTCGCAGAGTCGGACGAGAGCGACGATGATGGATCGGACGTGGAGTTTTGGGGATCATCATCACCCCGTGTCCCAGAATCTAACAGTCAACCCATCGATGCACGTCCCTCGACCGTGGAACGCCGCGCCTCGAACACATCTTTCGACTCGGTGACGGACGACCACTCGAACTGGCTTCCGGCCCCCGTGCAAAGGATTAGTAGCCGTCGTGCTTCGAAGACCTCCAAGAGCATCGGGATTCGCCCGAGAAGCCCGAACCTTCCTGATAGTACCGACTTTGTCTGTGGAACCCTCGACGAGGATCGTCCCCTCGAACTCGCCTACAAACATTGCCTCGAAGAACGCCGCCGCCTAAAGGAAATTGTCATCCCGCAAGATATCGACCCCAGTTTCCCTACCAGCGATCCGGAGGACAACGAAGACCTCGAACCATCCGAGGAGGAGCTTTCCAGCGTGCCCTCCGCCACCAGTCACCGCGATGAAATTACCCGAGGACGGCCAGAGGGCGACGCCGGCAGGCACTCTCCCCGTCGCTCTCCCCGGCGTCTGATGTCCCCACCACCCCGTCGGGCTGGCCGCACCTCTCCCAAGCGTCTCAAGTCCCCGCCTCCACGCATGAGAGCGAAATCGCCCACCCCGGCTACCTGGGAACTCACCGATGATATGCCCATTGTTGAGTCTCCCGGGGGTGTCAACATCAGTCACCTGGTTCAGCGCCGGCCTCTCGTCCGCACCAAGTCACTTCCCCGTGTCCCCAACCCTTTCTTTGCCGGCCTGGACAAAGATCACCGCTGGCAGGGTATCCCACCATTCTCTGAGTCACCAGAGCAAGAACACTCACGTACCCGTGAGCTACACACTCGTGGTCCAGTCGACATTGTCGAAGGGCTCGAGAAAAAGCGCCAGAAACGAAAAGAGAAGTTCTGGCGTCAACACTGCCGCAAAGCTGCCAAAGAGCAGATGGGCAAACGGCCTACTCCAGGCCATGGAGCCGAACGGATGAAGGAGCTTGGCCTCGAAGTTGCTGAGAGGTGCAGAGCTTATGGTGTCGGTCAAGACGCCCAGCTCGTCCTATCCGTTTAGGTGTCCCTACCTATGGAACTTGTATGAAAAAGTTTCACCCCTCCGTTTTTTTGACCTGTATATACCTACTTTTTTTTTGTCACTTTTTTGGCTTTGGGGGTTTTTTTTATTTTGTTTTACCCTGCTCGGTTAGCGATCCGAGTACCTTTCGCTTTCTTACACATATTAGCCGACTTTGTGTTGTCCACATGTATGGTTTCTTCAACATTATCCCCCTTTCCCCCTTTTCTTCAATAATTCCTACACGGAGGTGGTTCTTTCTTTGCATTTTCTGTCGGAAGTATATCTATATCCTTTCTTTTTCTCTTTTCTATACGGCGGTCCTGAGGACTTGCCAGAGGTCGCTTCCTTTGTTGTCTTGCATGGCTGCGGTGCATATACCCCTATCTGGCTTTTCTGCATTGTGAATAAAGAGATCCATCAGTTTGATGGGAGTGAATATGATATATATCTTAGATGAACATCTTCTTTCGTATAGTAGTAGATGGTAATAGTAATAATCGAGCAGTGGCGAGTCTTTGCCACGATGAAGATTTATAGAAAAGTACGCAATGATGATCAATTTTCCCAACAAATCATAGAAGAATCTACAAAATCATCCCATATATACCCAAAATACCCAAAATACCCAAATCTCCCAAGTCGTAGCTTATCGCTGCGCGAGGATTCCGTCTTCCTGCCTAAGGCACCCACCCGATCCCCGAAAACAACATCAAACCTGTCTTCTTTGCTTTCTATCTCTTCCACCCCCGTCCATCCACCTCTCCCCAATCAGCTAGTCACTGATTTTGACCTGTGATTACCGCTTGTCACTTTAATTTCCATTACTTGCTGACTCCGGCTCTTCACCATGTGGATCGTCAACTGGTGTAAGTACCCTCCCGACACAACACCTGATCACCTGGAGTCACCGTCCGGGGCCGATCCCAAGCACCGAGGAGCGGAGAACGAGATGTTTCTCTGGATAGTTTAGCTGCACTGGAACTGAATACGTCTTCATTCCGACTCCGATATCGAGTCATGCAACGGCTGTGCTGCGGTACCGGCTGCTTGTGATCGGATGTGCGTCTCGAGGTACAAGGTTCAATTTACTAATTTCGCTTCTGTGTTCTATAGTCTACGATGTTCTGGCCTCGCTGGGTCTCCTCAATAAGCACGCCAAGCTTCTCTTCCTCGGTCTGGATAATGCCGGCAAGACGACACTGCTGCACATGTTGAAGGTGAGTTGGTGTTCAGGTTGGGAAGTGAAGACCTAGCACTTTGGTGTTCAATCCTGCTAGCTACAAGGCCCGGGTCTGGTTGCGCTGGGTTGTTTCACAGATACTGGAGCTTGGATATAGCATGGCGGAGATATGAAGAACTGGGCATCATATGGGACTTGTTTGCTGACAGGACATTCAACAGAACGACCGTGTCGCCGTCCTGCAACCTACCGCACACCCCACCTCTGAGGAGTTGGCTATCGGCAACAACCGCTTCACGACCTTCGATCTCGGTGGCCATCAACAAGGTGAGTGATACTCTCGATGGGGAATCGTCATGTGGCGCAAGCATACTGCCAAGCATCATAACACCCCTCCACAGTTCTTCGGATTGGACATCACTAACGGACCTACCTTCTCCCTTCAGCCCGCCGTCTCTGGAAGGACTACTTCCCCGAAGTTAGCGGAATCGTCTTCCTGGTTGACGCCAAGGATTACGAGCGCTTCTCCGAGTCTAAGGCCGAGCTCGACGCTCTCCTCGCCATGGAGGAGCTTTCCAAGGTCCCCTTCCTCGTTCTCGGAAACAAGATCGACCACCCCGATGCTGTCAGCGAGGATGAGCTCCGCCACCAACTCGGTCTCTACCAAACTACTGGTAAGGGCAAGGTCCCTCTCGAGGGTATCCGGCCTATCGAAGTGTTCATGTGTAGTGTTGTTATGAGACAGGGTAAGTTTTGTCGAGTCCTAAGCCTTCCATTGGATGTGTACATTGGAACAATTAACTAATTTTTTTCTTTCCTCCAACAGGATACGGTGAGGGCATCAGATGGTTGTCCCAATACGTTTAAACAGAGAGTCCTCCCTGTTCCCTCGACGCAACCGATTCCCCTCCCTGACCTGTTAGCCCCAAATCCATATTCATTCCACTCGAGCAAGAGTCCAAGTGAAATGAAAGTGGCTCTGGTTTTGGCTTTGGCTTCTGGCTTTCTCCGACATTCCTCTACACCCGAACACCCAATATCATATCTAGCTACGCTTTACACACCCCCCCCACAAACCTAGTCCCAACTTTTTACCCCCCGCACGTACCTGTACGTCTTGAATGTGTCACTCGACAACGCTGTACCTCGCTCATCTTGTCACGTTTGTTCAATTGTTCAATTCCTGTTCCTTCTGTTCTGCGCTTTTGCTCGAGCTAGCTAGCTGTTTTTTTCCTGGTTACTATAGTCTAAAGACTTCAATTTCTTTCTTTTTTTTCCCCCTGGTATAAGCATAGGAATGATTGTGTCCATCATCATGTAATAAGCCCCGCCTACCCCCGCATCTCCGCATATTTTCCCTTTTCCTCTTCTTCATTATGAATGACATGGATTCTCTGTCCCCATCCCATCCATCTCCTTTGGATGGGCCGAAGATTGGGATAGCCTTCCCGGAGGTCTCAATCCGCCTCCTACGCCTATAAGAGAGAGGAAGTGAACACAATCCTCTGACGAAACTTGCTTCGGAAATAAACAAATATGTTGATATTGTCATTTGGTAGGCGTTGAGTCTTGCTCAATCTTGCTGTACATACTATACATTCTTTCCGCAAAACAAGCATCAAATCTACCTATTAGAACCCTCGTTTAAATCCTCTACAACTTGAACGGTCTCATTGCTTCTAAATCCCGTTGAATCTCCGCGCGTGTCCTCTCTGTAGATACATCCTTTACCACCATCTTCATACATATACAGCCGCTGAATACTACGCCCTGTAATCGGACCACACTTCCCACTTCCAATTGTCCGTCCATCAATTTCTCGCACATGAATCTGCAAGGGAAATGTCCCAGTACAAAATACCTCATCAACACCAGCACCAGCACCATATGTCTCCGTAAGAGTAAAATCGAGCCCTCGAACAGGAATTCCAAATTCCATTGGACCGAGAAAACATCAATGCATTTCTGCCGGGTGGTTTTGATTCCCTGCATCTGATTATTCTTCGTCGGAGCCCAGCCCATACTTCACCGTCCCGAACAATGAAGAGCACGTCTTGACGAATCCATCTAGATTCGAGATCCTGCATCAGGCATTCATCGGAGCCGCTGACATTACCACTGATATACACGCTTGCACGTCTGTTGCTTTGGAGATGTGGTTCCACATCTCGTCTTTGATATCAGGAAGCCTTCGACGGATATGGACGTGTGGCTCATTGGACATATTGTTTGTGTCAAGAGTTCTGTGCAGAATGGCCATTCGGTATATATATTAGATGCAGAGAGTGGCCCAAGAGCTAACAAGAGGGAGCGGATTGCACGAAGCCTAAATATGAGCGTCGTAGTCGATGCGTTAGGCGTTAGGGGACACTGTCTAAATCGGCAACCAGAGCCCTGCCAACACAACTACCTTGGATCGGTATTATCATACTATACCTATGCCTTGAATTGAAGGATATTCCAATTCCTCAATTATAAATATAAGGACGGGATCAACTACCCCAAAGAAAATATGAAATATCTTGGCCTACATAAACGTAAACTCAAATGTGATTCTCACAGCCCATATAACAAACAATCTAGACCTCCGGAAAAAAAAAAAAAGAACCCCATTCCAAGGCCGAGGTAGATTTCACAGAAACACCGCTAGTAACAGAACCTCCCATTCCCAATCCGGTATACGATGCATCAGCAGAGAGAGGTACTTACTACCGCCTCGTACGTGTCGGACTAGAAAAGTCGAAAGACGGATATGATTCGATAAGAAAACAACAACACATGCGGTCAAGGAACAGGACAATAAGAAGTAAGGAAAAAGAAGAAGAAAAGAGAAAAAGATAACCAGTTTCCCTTCTCCGTTCCCAGGATGCCGAAAGGAAAAAAAAGAAAAAACTTTCCAGTCTCCAGATGGTTAGAAACAGAGAGAAGTCGAGAACCAACGAAGAAATAAGTATTTGAACTCCGCCCCGGAAGTACAGAGGGTCACACGGGCCAGGAAATGATGTGACTGTTGTTTTTTTATCGCATGTCGCACTGGGAGAGAGAGAGCCCGGGGGTCAGGGAGGAGTTGAAGAATGTTGACTGTGATATTATCGGTGGAGTTGAAGAGGAATATCGGACTTCCCTGGGTGCGGATGAGGGGTTCCTCGGTCGTTCATCGTTTTCGTGGATCCGGGGGAGGGACTCGCGGGGGGTTGTAGGGAGGATGTCATGAGGGCGCTGTTATAGAGATTTTGTGAAAGGCTTATCTCCGCCCGAACCTGCTGCACATGGGGAAGCTCGTATTGATTCTTTTATTTCTTCTTTTGCTTTCGCGGAGTGACGGGACCGCCGGCGCTCATGCCACCGTAAACGTACTTTTGCTTTTTCTCGGCTGGTTTCAGGATCTATCGGAAGAAGAAAAAAGTAGGTTAGGAACTGAAAAAAAAAAGAGATCTCGAATGATGAAAATTCCATAACTCACCTGGAAAGAGCACAGCAGACTCTCGTCCACACTCATCATTGCACCGGCATTATCGAATTCACCACAATAGTTGGGTGCACTGAATAGTGTAACCAACTGGCGCTTGGAGAAGAATTCGTATCCATCCTCAACAACTTGGTGTGCACGGCAGATCAGATCCATATCGTGTTTTTGAAGGAAGCGCGAAACCACATCGGGGCCGAATGTGAATGAAACACCTCGGTCGTTTTCGCTCCAGCCGGTGATATCCTTATCGGGGTCAGACCATAGGAGATCGCACAGGAGACCGCAGTCGGGAATCTATTTCAGTCAGCGATGTTGGCTTTTAGCCGAACGAACCCAGCGCCACGCTGCCACTATTCCTTTCGCCAATAGAACCACAATTTACCAGGGAGGGGTGAAATCGGAAAAGGGGAGAAACTTACATCCGTGGGGCGCATGACACGGCGGATTTGCTCCATCGAGTTGAGATCGGGGCTCAGGCCACCGTGCATGGTGAAGATCTTCTCATCAATGATGGCAGCAATGGGGAGACAGTTGAAGCAGTCGGTGAAAGTCTTCCAGAGCTTGATGTTGTATCGGCGCTTGCACTCATCGTAGAAACCGTAGATACGGTTGATCGAGGCACACTCGTGGTTTCCACGCAGAATGAAGAAGTTCTCGGGGTACTTGATCTTGTACGCAAGGAGGAGGCAGATGGTCTCGAGAGACTGCTTGCCACGGTCGACGTAGTCACCGAGGAAGAGGTAGTTAGCCTCCGGGGGGAAACCGCCGTATTCGAAGAGACGCAGGAGGTCATAGTATTGGCCGTGGATATCACCGCAAATCTAGCAAGACACGCATGTTAGACGGAGGCCTATTCCGACTCGAACATCCGTTCAGACACAAAAGAAAAATTCTTACCTTGATAGGCGCTTCCAGTTCGAGAAGAATGGGTTGAGAGATGAAGATCTCACGAGCCTTGGTGCAGAGGAAACGGATCTCTGACTCGAGCAGCTGAACCTGCTTTCCAGGGCGGCTACCCCTCACCTCCAAAAGCCGGTCGATGATCGAGTCCAGATCCACTTCCTGATCGGCCATGGCGAATAATGTCTAACGAAAACACGAAATAAAGAAAAAAAATGGGTGAAGGAAAAGAAAAGCGAAAGGTGGAAGAGAGACTTCCGGAGCGATCGGGTGAGATTAACAGAGATTTGATGACGCGGCGACTATGTCCTGTTACTGTCGGAAAACCAAGTTAATAAAGCGTTCTAGATTGAGATGAAGTCCAAGTCTGCATTGCAAGTCCCAAATCGAAGCGAAATTGAAGAACGCGCTCGAATTTTTTCCGTTGATTTTTCTTCCCCCTTTGGGCGGTCGGATTGTTGGGAGCAGCAGCGGAGCAGCGGAGGATAAAAGGAATAGAGAGAGATGCCTACCAAACAGAAGATTTCGAGACCAAACAGATCTAGATTGGGGGCCCAACGGCCACTGAAAAGAAAGGGAAAAAAAAAAAGAAAGTTCTGGCAGAGATGCCAGACGGGTGTGGACGGTGGTGCCTATCCGAGGTATTGTGTACGCGCACAGTGTAAATAGAAAATAATGGGCTCCTAGACGCCTCACAAGATAAACGAGGCTGAGCGAAAGAGCACTTAAAACTCTTAGCGATTTGACTTGATGAAGAAAGCCGAAAAGTGGATGAAGTCGAAGTCGAGACGAATGGAGAGAGAGAGAGAGAGATCGGGAAATTTCAATCAAAGGAGAAAATTTTCTCGGTATGATAGGCAGACCAGTTTGAATCTCAAAAACATCAACGTAAACGTGAATGTGGAGATTGGAGATGGGATTGAAGGTTGAAGAGAAGAGAATCTTTTTTACGAAGAGAAAGCGGGAAGTTCCTTATTTTGTGTTTGCGCGTGTTTGATCTTCCCCAAGGAGGGGGGTTATATGTTATATATAGAGCGCGCTTATAAAAGAACCTATTTCCCCCTTACTACTTTGCAATTATTTTATTACTCTATTACTCTATTACTCTATTCTATTTATTCCTTTCTATCTCTTCTGTGTTACAAACGCTTTAATACAAAAAAAAGTCTCTGCATAGAGGGGGGGTTCTAGGTCGAGACTGCTAACGCCCTCGACGCCAAACGGGGTCCAAGCACGAAAGTAAGAGGCTGATCGACTAAAATAGTGCATTTAGTACATTTGGATTGTGCATCTAGACTGGGACTATTCTATCATGCCATTCTAGAATGCCTTTGTATCTATGTTGTATACCTATACTATTGTACATATACTATTGGATCTTTCGGCTCTACGGAATAGATATCTAGAAGGCCTAATAGAGAAGAACCGTAGAAAAGTAGAAATATAGGAAACTCTCCAAAATAATTGGCATTCTTCACAAATGAGCTCGAGGCTCTAGTCTTATACAATGCTGCTTGTCCAGAAGCCATGCAGCATTATACAGAAAAGGAATTGAAAACAGAAAACCAAGAAGTAACAAGAGGGGAATTAAACAAGTCAAAAGATCCGTCCCAACGCCAACATGCCCGAAATTCAGAATCATACAGTACAACGCTAGAACCGAAACCAAAATGTCTTTCACTGTGCCTTCCGTGGATCAAGCCGACTCCCAACAACCGGGTGTCATCGCAGGATGCGTTTTGGAAAAAGAAAAGGAAATGGGGACATGCAACAGTGAAAAGAAAAACAAAACAAAGCAAAAAAAAACGGCCGTAAATAGTTCATACATCCAACCCACCATAGTCTCATAAGTCATCCAACGCCGAAAACAATGCATAGAATGATCAGCTGCTGGTACTGGGGATATGTTGTTCAAATGAGTCCCGAGGGACCGCACGAGGGGAGTTGGGTCCTCGTAAATAAGGAGAAAAGAAATGACAGAACCCGCTGAAGCGGGTAAACGTCGCATCCACGGAGAGAACTCCGGGAGTCAGGAGATAGAAACGTGAGAGGCGAACGGAGTCCCGACAGGAGATGTCATGGCGAGGACTGTAAATAATAAAAGGGTATTTTATCCGCTAAGCGCATGTCCGCTCAGGATCGCTTGGGTATTCGAGCGGGTGAGTGTGGGTGGGGAGATATGGGGGGAATGATCCAAGCCCGCGCCAGAGCTGTGAGCAAAGTCTTTATGGGAGTTATTCCAGTCGTTCTCGCCGAGAACAGTGAGCCAGTTATGGCCCACGTCCTGACGAAGAACTTCCAGCTGCTGGCGACAGAACTCTTCATCCATCGTCCTATCCTTGCCTTGCAAAGCCTGTACAAGAGGGGGACTCGAATGCACAGGTTTTTCGGGATTTTGGATGCTTGACGATCCAGAGTGCGCGGCGCTTTCCAGCCTCCACGGCTGGTCAACGGGGACAACAATCGGATGGTCAACCGGCGGTTGGATTTGCTGAACAGGAAGAGCTGGAATAGCTGTGCTGCCTGCGTTACCCAGGCCATCGGTAGTAAATGGATTGTCCACCGAGATATCGACTATCCTGCGTCGTTGGAGCTTTTTGCGGCGATTGGTTCCCAGATCACTTTCCTTCAGATGTGCACCATTCATGCGCAACTCTTCCTCGTCTTCTTGAGGTTTGAAGATTGCAATATCGTGGGGCACTTTCGAGATAGTAGACTTCTGCACAACAGTTGAGTCATCTGCCGGGCTGGAGCGTACAACTGGTGCAGCTTGAGGCTCTGCAACTCGCTCAACAAGTTGCTTCCTCTCAGTGTATCCCGGGCCTCTACCGTCAATTATAATGTCCTCGGAATAACCAGGCGTCCGGCGGAAGAGGTTCATGATCACAACTCGATATCCAGAGTGGGTCTTGACGAACGGATTGCCAGATACCCAGATCTCCCGTATTTCAGGGAGACTGGTCAACCGTGCAATCTCCGTCGGGTCCGTGAGGTTGTTGTCACGAAGATCCAATCTTTCCAAAGAGAGCAACCGCTCAATGCCTGCAAGCGAACGAAGACGATTTCCGCGGAGGGTGAGAACGGTAATGGCGGGGAGGGGATTCCGTGTGAGGGAGTGAAGAGACTCAATCATGCAATGCGACAAATTGAGGGCTCTCAATGCCACCAGTGATGCTACGCCGTCAGGAATCTCCGTCAAGAGGTTAGAGGACAGATCAAGGGAGTTGAGACTATTGGCTACAGGTGCGAGACTGGCAGCAGAGACAGATGTTAGAGAGTTTTCAGGCAGGCCCAGGTGTCGCAGGAATCGCCATTTTGAAGGTGAGAGGACGTCCGCGAGAAGGTTTGTGGAGCTTCCATTTCGATGGCCGGTAGAGGTCTCGCTTGATTCAGAGCTTGCGGAGCCCGTGCGGCGAATTTGCCGAGACTGGCCTCGACGGTGACCGTGCTTCGTGTTCGGTCGAGTCGGAGAGACACTCCCGGCCCTGGCCCGAATCTTGGCGCCTTCTGAGCCGACTCGGAACATCGGGGAAGATCTGGGACTGGTGCTGGTTCCGAATGCCGTGTCCACGATAGGAGATCCAGGGGCTGAGAGGGAGTTGGCCTGGTCGGGGTTGTGGACTGGCTGACTGCTGGAGCTGGTCCATCCCAGTGAGGGCGACTGTTGAGACTTGGCAGATCGTCGGCGGCGTTTATCAATGTCGTCCAACACGATTCTCGTTAAAAGATCGGCCGGATCATCCAAGTGGGCTCTCTTGATGGTCAAGGTGCGTAGTTGCTCAGACAATCTGTCCCAGCCATAGAAAGAACGGTAATCTAGATCAATAATCTCTAAAGCGCTCAAATTCTTAAAGGAGTGCAACGGCACAGCCGTATCGAAAGGAAATTCTTCATATCCAGAGATCAGAGGAGCACGGTGGTCCGGAGCAAGACGAAGACACGGGATCTTAGTAAAGGCAGAGTATAAGTACTTCAGGTCCCCTTCCAAGGCGGCCTTGGCCTTGTCCGATTTGGTTGGGGTATCCTTGGATCCAAGACGGAAAGATGACCAGAGGTCGGTCATACCAGACATCACACTACGAACACTGGACACCGAATGGATGGAGGCCCGATCACTTCGGGACTGTTGGGGCTTGTTCAGGAATGAAACATAGGATTGCGAAACCTCGGTGTGAATGTTCTCCAATCTGATATTCATAGGGCCCACGGCAATGGTCAATTCCTCAAAACGGGAAAGAAGATAGAAAAGGTGGTGGGGAGTCAATGTCAGTTTGGCGGTTTTGGAGTTCTGCGACATGAATTTCAATGCCGCGGATGAGAAGGCTGCGGCCAGGGTTGACGAGGTCGAGGCGAAAGAGCTACCAGGGGTCAAAGGAACACTGGGGGATTGTGGAATGGCAGTTTTGGTGGGTTGACGACGAAGTTGTAGTGCATTGGCGAGGGCCTTTTCGTGGGTGCGAACGTAGCTAGCGACATTCTATGGTAACCATGCATGTTAGCTGTCTGTAGGACCAAATAACAAATACATAGCCAATCTCTATCATCTCAACGATCAGGCGACTGCTGCATATAAACACAAACCTTTATGAAAAGTTGTCCATCCCCGGTGTTGATTTTCTCCATGGCGTCAACGGGGAGTAGTATGGTGGGTGGACTGGGAGAACTCTGAAGATGGATAGCTCAACAGATGTTACCAGATGTAGTCGACATCTTGTTTGTGCGACCCGAATGAGACCCGAAAAAAACGAGCAATCGAGGCTCTAAATGCGAGGGTTAGCAACGGTGTGCTGAAATTGATCAGTCTCATTGGGGATGAGGGAGGGGATTTCGGGGACCCCTGGAGACGGGGAAGCGATGATGGATGATACCTAGAGAATGAATATGGAGAGTCAAAAGAAAACGACTCGATCTCCTCTCTGAGACCTCGAAAAGTGAGATAGAGATTGGAGAGGAATGACAAAAAGTGAAGAGAGGGAAAGGTGGTGTGGCACGGGGTAACCAATTATTTAGCTAAATAATACAGGCTTATCCTGATAACACAATACACAGGCCATATACGCCGTAATACACCGTTTACCAACATTTTTATTTCCGATTTTACTATTTTCTTTTTTTATCAGCTGAGATATTTCAAAATGATAGTCGTCTGATATACTTGCTGATTGGATTTTATTTCTCCTGCTATTCAATTTTTTTTTTATATATATATTCTTACCTCGTGAATGC